CATATTGTTTGTACATATGTTACGATACATGTAAATCTACATAGGAGTGACTGTAACAGCCAGATATATGTACATCTATCTGTCTGTGCTTAATATTGATATATCGAAAATTAAATCACGCTGATGTTTACAAAGCGAAAGCAGCACATCATATTTGAATTGTTGATATTATTCCACATTTGTGTTCTTCAATTTACATGTAGTAGCGTTATCGACATCTAGCAAACAATTTCGCTCAAACCGTAGCAAGGCGTAAGATTTTGGTCCGTGTTGAAAGTCTCACTGTTTCACAGAGATGACGAACAGCAATCAAAGCGCTGTTAATTTTGGTTTTGTCGATTGTGTGATGGATTTTACGTCATGAATATTGATTGATTGGTTGATTGAATGTTGATTGCTTCACGTTCAGCGAAATGATGCATTAATTGAATAAATATACAGTACTCCTTAATGTCCAGTCGTGGGGGTATAAACTGTAGATTTATATCAAAAAAACTTGTAAGTATATATGACGTCTTGCATAATTCTAAATATTATTCATACTTAATGTTGACCTAGCTTATTACTTAACTGTCTTATCTCATGTACATGTCGTAACTGTATAATTCCAGTTTCTGAACTTGTTGCTTCGGTAATGAAATGAAAAGTTGTAAACGGATATACACAAAAATAATCGTTGATACACAAATACAGAGAGAGAGAGACAGACATATCTTATTTTTATAATATACATCAGAGTAAACATAATTTTATATAGTTTCCTAGATTACATTGAACCAATGCATGCAACTTACATAGAACCAATGCATTCGACTTACATAGAACCAATGCATTCGAATTATATAGAACCAATGCATTCAACTTACATAAAACCAATGCATGCAACTTACATAGAATCAATGAATTCGACGTACATAGAACCATTGCATTCAACTTACATAGAACCAATGCATTCAACTTACATAAAACCAATGCATTCGACTTACATAGAACCAATGCATTCAATTTACATAGAACCAATGCATTCAATTTACATAGAACCAATGCATGCAACTTACATAGAACCAATGCATTCAACTTACATAGAACCAATGCATTCAATTTACATAGAACCAATGCATTCAATTTACATAGAACCAATGCATGCAACTTACATAGAACCAATGCATTCAACTTACATAGAACCAATGCATTCAATTTACATAGAACCAATGCATTCGAATTATATAGAACCAATGCATTCAACTTACATAAAACCAATGCATGCAACTTACATAGAATCAATGAATTCGACGTACATAGAACCATTGCATTCAACTTACATAGAACCAATGCATTCAACTTACATAAAACCAATGCATTCGACTTACATAGAACCAATGCATTCAATTTACATAGAACCAATGCATTCGATTTACATAGAACCATTGCATTCGATTTACATAGAACCATTGCATTCAACTTACATAGAACCAATGCATTCAACTTACATAGAACCAATGCATTCGACTTACATAGAACCAATGCATTCAACTTACATAGCAAACCAATGCATTCGACTTACATAGAACCAATGCATGCAACTTACATAGAACCAATGCATTTAACTTGCATAGAGCCAATGCATGTAACTTACATAGAACCAATGCATTCAACTTACATGGAACCATTGCATTCAACTTACATAGAACCAATGCATTCAATTTACCTAAAAGTAATAAAACTCCCTTTTTTGCCAAAAACTGGTCTTTACCTCCCGAAACTAGTTTTTTATGTGGTCTTTTCAAGTCAATTGTGATAAAAAAGGAAAATGTTAATAGTTTCGGGTTATATGGGTACTTGCATCACTAGTTATAGTACATCATCCATCGACCAGATCTTGTCGGGGGCTTGTAGTATTTACATTACTGGTAACGGTTTTCACGAAAGTATACTTATTAGTTATACATGGTACCAATGGTGGTTTCTGGATACCGATTTATTTTGCAATTAAGGTGCAATGTTACGTCAAAGTTGGTCAACATTATGTTTTAGCATAATCTCATGGAAATTTAAGGAAAGAGGTATGACAAATTTCCCCTGTAAACAGGATTGTATTCGTCTATATATATACTTTTTCAAATAATTTTCAACATGTTTCTAATGGAATTCGGCGCTTAATTTTGCTATTTTTTTATTTTTTGATAAAAAATTAAAAATTTCAAATGTCGTTTTGTAAGTGGATAAAAGGACGTCACTAATCAAAATGAAATATTATGTAACGAACAATTTACAACTTAAGTTCCAACATAATTTTGTTTTACATTTTTGGATAAATACTCAATTTGCCAAATTCTGTCAATCTTGCGGTTTTGGGCTACTTCGGGCATCTAGAACAAAGTCAACTTTTTAGAATTAGCCATTATATTGTAAAATTGTCAAAGTGAACACATGGAGCTGTGAAACTGTTTCATTAATAAAAGATTGACATACCTATTGAAATGGTCCTATTGTGAAATAAATTCAGGGATATTGACCTGCTTACCCTTCCGGAGCACATTAGATATCCCCCAGTTTTTCGTGGGGATCGTGTTGCTCAGTCTTAATATTTTTATGTAGTGTTTTGTGGACTTGCTTTTCTTTTCTGAGTCTTTTGTTTTTTGGCATTGCGTTGTCAGTTTATCTTCGTCTTATAAGTTTTGAATTTTGCAAAGGTATCTTCCACCTCTTTCTAGTTATATTTGATTTTTCCCCCTAAATCTAATTAATTAAAATTGAAAAAAAAACGGAATATTGTTATTGGCTGAGTTCAAAGGATATGAATGACTGCTAACAAAATAACTTTTTGTAAATTAATTTAAAAAAAAAGTGTAAGTCATATATATTTTCTTGCAGTCGAGTGTTTGTGACCTCTTTCAATGGCGTAGGATTAGACTGGAAAGTGTTTGAATATGTTTGCCTGGGGAGGGGGGGTTACAATTACAAATCTCAACTCCACATTAACTGCTTGACAGAAAACTTTCATATATGGTAAGATTGTTTGTCATCATGTAAGGTTGGCCATACTTTAACGTCATCTTGATTTGACAGTTCTTGGGGGAGTTATGGGACTTTGAAAATTGTTTAGATTTTTGTAACACAATGACAAATTGTAAATGCAGCTTCCGTTTGCACGAACTCTTTCATACTTAGTATGATTTTTTTGTAGTTGACCAAACTATACCGTCGTTTCGATTTGACAATTTTTGTGGGAGATGTTGGACTTTTAGTACTGCTGTACATAAGTCTACAGTCCAAACAATTGTATTCTAAAAACAGTTACACAGCGACATTTCCCCTTCGGCATAGCAATCGTGTTAATATTGGTTTAAAGAGCATTTCTTTTTATTGGTCAATTGTATTCTACAGTTACACAGTGGCATTTCCCCTTCGCCATAGCAGTCGTGTTAATTGGTTGAAAGAGCATTTCTTTTTATTGGTCAATTGTATTCTACAGTTACACAGCGACATTTCCCCTTCGGCATAGCAATCGTGTAAATATTGGTTTAAAGAGCATTTCTTTTTATTGGTCAATTGTATTCTTCAGTTACACAGCGATATTTCCCCTTCAGCATAGCAATCGTGTTAATATTGGTTGAAAGAGCATTTCTTTTTATTGGTCAATTGTATTCTACAGTTACACAGCGATATTTCCCCTTCGGCATAGTAATCTTGTTAATATTGGTTGAAAGGGCATTTCTTTTTATTGGTCAATTGCATTCTGCAGTTACACAGCGACATTTCCCCATCGGCATAGCAATCTTGTTAATATTGGTTGAAAGAGCATTCCTTTTTATTGGTCAATTGTATTCTACAGTTACACAGCGATATTTCCCCTTCGGCATAGTAATCGTGTTAATATTGGTTGAAAGAGTTTTTTTTGTCAATTGCATTCTGCAGTTACACAGCGATATTCCCCTTCGGCATAGCAATCGTATTAATATTGGTTGAAAGGGCATTTCTTTTTATTGGTCAATTGTATTCTACAGTTGCACAGCGACATTTCCCCTTCGGCATAACAATCGTGTTAATATTGGTTGAAAGAGCATTTCTTTTTATTGGTCAATTGTATTCTACAGTTACACAGCAACATTTCCCCTTCGGCATAACAATCGTGTTAATATTGGTTGAAAGAGCATTTCTTTTTATTGGTCAATTGTATTCTACAGTTACACAGCAACATTTCCCCTTCGGCATAACAATCTTGTTAATATTGGTTGAAAGAGCATTTCTTTTTATTGGTCAATTGTATTCTACAGTTACACAGCAACATTTCCCCTTCGGCATAACAATCTTGTTAATATTGGTTGAAAGGGCATTTCTTTTTATTGGTCAATTGTATTCTACAGTTGCACAGCGACATTTCCCCTTCGGGATAGAAATCGTGTTAATATTGGTTGAGAAAGCATTTCTTTTTATTTGTCAATTGTATTCTACAGTTACACAGCAACATTTCCCCTTCGGCATAACAATCTTGTTAATTTTTATTGGTCAATTATTGAGTGTTACATGAGATGATATGTTAAGGTATGCTTCGTTTAAGTCATGGTTTGGTTTAGGAATTATTTATGCAGTCTGTCGTTTTGAATGCTCCTTTCATTTTTTCTAAAATTCCCTTCAAAGACGACGTTGGTGCCTAGTAATAACCTGTTTTTTCGTATTTGGTATCAGTATTAAGCTCTGTGTTTTGCAGCAAAACAATAGATTTTGACTTTTCTAGTTTATAAATATATATATTTTTTGTATTGATCGAATATGTTTGTTTTGGAAAAACGTTTTAGGAATTTATCGATGACTGTTAGCGTCTACTTCAGTACTTCCGAGGCATTCATTACTTTGGTATCAAGGACTTTTACATACGATTTACCTACAGAAATAAATAGGACCAATAAAAAAATAATTACACACGCATAATGTGTGTGTCGAAATTGCATTGGGTACCTGTTCATGCTAATAATATTAATTTGTATTTCTTACAGGATGAAGACTTTGTTATCTGTAGTTTTCCTGGCGTTTGTATCATCAACAAGGGGTGAAAGTCAAGGTGTATATATCACCGATACATGGAATGGAGGATTCCACGGACATTTTACTCTTAGTCCAAGTCAAGCAGTAGATGGCTGGACAGCACATTTGAAATTCAGTAGTGCTGTAGACAAGTTAGAGGTATGGTTGTTTTTTAATACGAGTTTTAAAACACATTAATAGTTTTAGAATTAAGATTGATGACACTTTAAAAAAAAAGGAACAATGTATCAAGCATATAATAAGAAGCTTATGAGGTCACAATAATAACGAGAAAGGTTCGTTATTAGAACCACTCAGTAAAAAGTTAACCTCGGTGCATAGTCATGACAGCGATGACGCATGTCAGATGCCAAATGAACAAAGGTGCTGTTATCAAATTGACATATTTTACATATTAAAATTTGTCGCATTTTGTGATGTTCAATCATTTAGAATTCTCTAGTTATTGTGGATGGACTCTAGTGAACCATTATAGAATGGGTATGTGTATACTAAATCTTATTCTAATGCGAGCATGTGAGATTTTGTATTGACGATGTTTTGTGTTTAGAGGGAAAAACATTTCCGTTATCTGAAAATCATTTAGCAGACATTTACGTTTTTTGATTGAGTTAAGCCTTCCAATTGATATTTTATAGTGTGTTTTTCTATGTTGTGATGTTATACTATTGGTTCAAGGTTTGGTACCATTAAAACGTTTAATCCCGCTGCAAATGTTTGCACCTGTCCTAAGTCAGGAATCTGATTACAGTAGTTGTCGTCTGTTTATGTAGTTCATACGTGTTTCTCGTTTCTCGTTTTTATATAGATTAGACCGTTGGTTTTTCCGTTTGAATGGTTTTACACTAGTAATTTTTTGGGGCCCTTTATAGCTTGCTGTTCGGTGTGAGCCAATGCTCCGTGTTGAAGGCCGTACCTTGACCTATAATGGTTTACTTTTATAAATTGTAACTTGGATGGAGAGTTGTCTCATTGGCACTCATACCACATCTTCCTATATCTATGATTCATTGCATTACAATAGCAATAACTGTATTGTATTTTGATGATCATTTATTAAACAGACATGATTTATTGCATTTGAATAGCAATTACTGACATTTATTTTTAATTAATATTTGACGAGGTTAATCATAAGATCAAGTTGATCTTTTACCGTGTTGGCTGTTCTGTTTAAGGCATGTTGGCTGTTCTGTTTAAGGCATGTTTGCCTTGTTGCTCTCTAGCGTCATATGATATTGGCTGCTGGTGGAATGTCATGACCCGATGTTACCATCCCCAAAAAAGTCAGTGCTTCGGTTCTGGCATGATTTAAATTATACTGTAATATCATTAACGATACAAATTAATGGTGATGCTCGAGGTCAAAATATTTGAAAAACCGAAACTTATATAAACGTTGAAGAGCTAATCAAACCAAAAAGGACCTAAAGTGTAGCCAAATCCGTACAAAAAAAATATGCTGTTTTGGCTGCTATGTTTATTTATATCAAACTTTTTGTAGCTTTGGCTACTAGTGCCAGGTGTAATGAAGGATGGTTATTACATAAACACGTGTCGTGCCTTTTGTTATATTTGTACATGAATAATTGAAGTCACTTTATAAGATTCAAATATCATGATTATTAATTAAGAGGAAACAGTAAAACCAAGCGTGGTTATGACACAATTAATCTTGATACAATTTTACCACCAAAATGCTTCAAAAGCAACTATTCATGCTTCGTTTTCCCTTCATATTAACATGTGCTTCGTGGATTAATTTTTTTCTTAATTCATAAATTTTGAAAATTTAAGACCTGGACAGCAAATTTGGTTTCCACTAGCAGTGATCATACAGAGTTTGTTCTTACGAATAAAGATTATGATAAACACATTGATGCAGGAGGCGAACTGAAGGTCGATTTTAATGGACGTGCCAGTGGATCTTCCGCCCCAACAGCCACTGTATCGATAGAAGGCGTCGATGGAACTGGTACAGGAACAGGAACTGGTACAGGAACAGGAACCGGAACAGGAACGGGAACTGGAACTGGAACCGGTACAGGTACTGGTACTGGAACGGGAACAGGAACAGGAAATCCCATAACACCTGCACCAGCTAAAGGTGTCGGTAAGATTAATTTAATATTAGAACAGGAACTCCATTCCAATTAGACGGTTTCTAAGTCTCAGTACGATAATTGAACTCCTAATTCTTATCATTGTCACCAAGAACATTAGTTGAAAAATGTAAAGTCGTCCCCTCCTAGTACATTAGGCAGGCTCTTCTTTGGGGTCAATGCTTACGGATGTCATGAAGAAGAAATGTATAATTTGATTTGTCTTCATACAGGATGTTTTGATACTCTGACGATGAAATACCTCCCGCTCACATGCGCAACGTAAATGTCATAATTTGAAGCAATACTCGTACTTTGATGGTTTTAATTTATCAAAAATTTTACTAGCACTCACAGAACTAGTGCACGTAAGTAGGAATTCATTCCTGTGACCTCAAACGGGTTTATACATATATAATCTTTTTGGTTGCCATGATGCTCACCAATGTGATAAGACTTAACATTAAACATTTCAGAAAGAGTCCACGAAGATTTGAAGATAAAGGACATGCAATAGGACACCTATAACTATAGTCAAATCCAATTAAATTTAAAAACCAAACTGCTATTCCGCTGTAAATTTTAAATGTTATTTATTTTTTAGCTGGCTCAAAAATGAAATACGATTATGGAAAAGCAATGTCACTTTCTATTAAATTTTATGATGCTCAGAGATCTGGAAGACTACCTGCCAACAACCCTATCCCATGGCGTAGTAATTCTGCAGTTAATGATAATGGTGACGGCCACGATCTTTCGGGTGGATGGTATGATGGTAAGTAATTTTCATTTCCATCACATGTTTGTAAAACGAAAGGTTTTAAAACGTTCGAAAAGTATATCAAGCTAAAACAATGAAATAAAAAAATATCAAACCTATAAAGTGTGAGAATGTAATACGTAAAAATATTGAAGCAGAGAGAAGGTAATAGTTGTGGTAAATTTTATAACTCTTTTTTATGTTTTAGCTGGAGATCATGTTAAATTCAACCTCCCTATGGCATGGTCTTCACATGTGCTCACTTGGGGATTGGAGAAATTTAAGGACGCGTATGAAAGTGCCGGTCAACTAGATATGATGTATGACATGGTTAAGTGGCCACTAGAATATTTTATGAAATGTTGGGAACCAAGCAAACAGCAATACTGGGTACAGGTAAGATAACCGGCTTATGATGATACCAGTATCAGAAACTGCACTCATAAAAGTGTCATCTATATTTTTTGGTCGCAAGTGTCATCAGGATATATACTAGTAGTACCTCGATGAGAAATCTCAAATGTGATTTCATAAACTATATACCTGTTAATTTCCAGTTAAGGTCAGTTTGGCCTATCCACACTATTGTCATTAAGGCTGCATTAAAAATGCAACCATATCTGATGACATCACGCACAAAGAAAACAGTTTTGCTTTATACATAGATTGAGCGCAATTTTTTTATTAAAAGAAACTTGCACTAAAGTTGAACCACATGATATATTAATGCATGGATGTATTTGAGATATTAATCAATTACTAGTATTAATATAAATATCGAGTGTTTAATTATCTGGTCGTATATGGTATTCCACCAGGATCTGTTGTTATTACTATTTATATTCACGGTCTATATACATTGTAGGTGCATGTCGGTCATATAAACGAAAATCAAATTTCCTCACAAATGGTAAATTTTAAGCATTCATATTTTCTTATTTTGTATTTATATTTTATGGACAGGTAGGCGATGGACATAAAGACCACAGTTTCTGGGGTAGACCTGAAGACATGCATATGGACAGACCTGCGTTCAAAATAACGGCAGGTTCTCCAGGAAGTGACGTTGCTGGTACAACAGTTGCTGCATTGGCATCCGGATATATTGTTTTCAAAGACAAGGGTTTGTAACTCTTGTTGTTTTTTACAACTAAAGTGCAGGATAAGACATTTCATCCGTCACTGAAATCGATGGTACATGTAGAATACATATGAGCTACTTTGCAATAAAAGATATTTCCTAATTTAATTGCTATCATTTTGTTATTAATCTAACATAATTTATAAGGACTTTATGATTTTAAATAGCTGGAAATAACATTTACATTTAAGAAATAAGTTAATTAAATCTTCCCGGATAAGATAATTTATGAATAAACCTGGTACTTAAAATGATAATAATATATAACAGTGTCTTTACTGATCACTTATAAGACTATTGTAAAAATTAGGCATTTATTTTTTCAGATGCTACATTTGCTGCTAAATGTTTGGAAAATGCCAAATCTTTGTATACATTTGCTAAAGCCCATCCTGGTATCTATTCAAACAGTGTTCCACAAGCAAAAGATTTCTATGGGTAATCATATATAATGTAACCAGCTTACGTATCTATATTTGAAAACACTTATAATAGTCTACTTTGTGAACTTTTTAATAATATGAAAAAGATATGAAAAATAAAAAGGAAAAAAACAACTTTGCTTTCCAGTGATTGTTAAGATTTGTAAACTATCAGAAATTGTTAACTCAATATATGTGTTAACATGTAACACCAGTGGTTTTCAGTACGTGAGTGGGATACTGCGGGGAGAAGAAAATAGAAATCCTTTGGATTCAGCAATGTTATACCTTAAAACGTGATGGTTTAAATAAAAAAGAAGAACAAAATTACAGGGAAACTTTAAATTAGTAGAGTTGCATCAATCTTAACATTTTTGAAATATTAGTCACTGGACGCTGTTTATAAACGTATACACAACATGGTATAATTTGAAATATTTATATCTACAAAAAAAATTCTAGGTTTTTTTGTCTACCTTAATCACATCAGGCGTATATAAAACTGCATAGTTTTACATGCCCGTAGAAGGGAATTCGTTTTCCGAAATGTTGTGTTTATTTGTCATCACATTGATAATGTTTTATATATTTGCAAACAAAAAAATGTATTTAAATTACATTGTTAGGCAATCTATATGAACGTTTTCATCAGAAACTACATTTGTTGCCATATGTTTGTAAATTGCCAAATCTATGTATATATTTGCTTAAGTACATACTGGTTTGCATTCCTACAGTGTTCCACATGAATGTATGTATGTGTTATCACTGACAGTTACCATTTCTTTTTAATTAAAAAAAAAAACAAAAAAACAGGGAAGTCTTAAAAAAGAGATATTTACATTTCGTTTTTCGCTTCAATAGATCAAGCAGTTGGAAAGATAATATGTGTGAAGCTGCTGTAGAACTGTACAAGGCCACTCAAGATTCCAAATATCTGAGCGATGCTAAAGGTTGGTTCAATAGTGGAACTGCATGGGGATATTCCTGGGACGACCAGAATGTAGGCTGTCAGGTAGGTTTTATCATCATTGTAGGATGATGACCATGTGATAACTATATAGACTGTTATTACTCCAACCAAATAGTACAGAACTTCTTCAAGTCTTGTGAATATTGAAATTTAAGAACTATGGTAAATAAATTTGAACTTTTATTCATATCACGTTTTAGATGGAGAAAAGTTCAAGAATGGAAATTATTTCTTATAAGACTATTGTTGACGTTAAATAAAACTGTATAGGCTTATGTATTACTCCCTTGGGGGAAACGGTAACGGAAACTTGGTGATTGATAAACACGTTCAAATCATATCATTAACGTGTTCCTGGCATCATTCTATAAACAACACCAGTATAATGTCTTTTTTATATAAATACATGCACAACACATTTTTTATAAATATATTTTGTTTCAGCTTTTACTATGGGAGGCCACACAAGAAGCTACATACAAGACATCTGTTGAGGCCTTTGTGAAATCGTATATGCCGGGTGGATCTGTACCATATACACCATGTGGTCTTGCCTGGAGGGATCAGTGGGGAGCTAACAGATATGCTGGTAAACAAATATTGTCTATTTGATTATTATACATTTTGTTTACTTACACCCTTTTTACCTCGGATTTATCTTTATTTCAATTTAATACACAGTGTGATGATTTCTTAACTTTTCTTATATAAAATGATCATAACCTTTACTAACTATGTCAGTTTAAAGATTGAAAAACATGAATCAAATCTTCTAAATTAAAAGATTGTATTCATGCTTATATTAGATGTTGTAATTGAATTGTCAGTAGATTTTTTAGCTGCTAGAGAGTAATCACATTTCTACATTTCTACGTCTGAAGCCTAGAAGTAAGTTGTCAAGTTTAGAATATAACCTTTCTGCACTGAGAGTCAATCTTAAGGATCCAATAATTTACGATTTATGGTTAAACAAATTGCAATTCATGATTTACATTGTGTATTTAATGTTCAAGTATAAAACTTATTCGCTGTTGAAAATGAAAGTGGGTTGGTTTGTCTGTAGAATTATACCTTGAATTAAACAAAAAAACTTTAATTTTATAGCCAATGCTGCTTTTGTTGCTGTTACGGCGGCTGCTGATGGTATTGGCGGTGATTCTTACAAAAAATTTGCCATGTCACAGATGAATTATATTCTTGGTGATAACAACAAACACATGAGCTACGAAATAGGATTCGGTAGTAATTTCCCAAAGAAACCTCATCACAGAGGAGCGTAAGTATGATAGGATTCGGTAATAATTTCTCAAGGAAACCTCATCACAAAGTAGCGTCAGAATGATAGGATTCGGTAATAATTCATCGAGGAAACCTCATCATAAAGGAGCGTCAGAATGATAGGATTCGGTAATAATTCATCGAGGAAACCTCATCATAAAGTAGCGTAAGTATGATAGAATTCGGTAATAATTTCTCAAGGAAACCTCATCACAAAGGAGCGTCAGAATGATAGGATTCGGTAATAATTTCTCAAGAAAACCTCATCACAAAGGAGCGTCAGAATGATAGGATTCGGTAATAATTTCTCAAGAAAACCTCATCACAAAGGAGCGTCAGAATGATAGGATTCGGTAGTAATTTATCAAGGAAACCTCATCACAAAGGAGCGTCAGAATGATAGGATTCGGTAATAATTCATCGAGGAAACCTCATCATAAAGGAGCGTCAGAATGATAGGATTCGGTAATAATTCATCGAGGAAACCTCATCATAAAGTAGCGTAAGTATGATAGAATTCGGTAATAATTTCTCAAGGAAACCTCATCACAAAGGAGCGTCAGAATGATAGGATTCGGTAATAATTTCTCAAGAAAACCTCATCACAAAGGAGCGTCAGAATGATAGGATTCGGTAGTAATTTATCAAGGAAACCTCATCACAAAGGAGCGTCAGAATGATAGGATTCGGTAATAATTCATCGAGGAAACCTCATCATAAAGGAGCGTCAGAATGATAGGATTCGGTAATAATTTATCAAGGAAACCTCATCACAAAGGAGCGTCAGAATGATAGGATTCGGTAATAATTTATCAAGGAAACCTCATCACAAAGGAGCGTCAGAATGATAGGATTCGGTAGTAATTTATCAAGGAAACCTCATCACAAAGGAGCGTCAGAATGATAGGATTCGGTAGTAATTTATCAAGGAAACCTCATCACAAAGGAGCGTCAGAATGATAGGATTCGGTAGTAATTTATCAAGGAAACCTCATCACAAAGGAGCGTCAGAATGATAGGATTCGGTAGTAATTTATCAAGGAAACCTCATCACAAAGGAGCGTCAGAATGATAGGATTCGGTAGTAATTTATCAAGGAAACCTCATCACAAAGGAGCGTCAGAATGATAGGATTCGGTAATAATTCATCGAGGAAACCTCATCATAAAGGAGCGTCAGAATGATAGGATTCGGTAGTATTTTATCAAGGAAACCTCATCAAAATGGAGCGTCAGAATGATAGGATTCGGTAGTAATTTATCGAGGAAACCTCATCACAAAGGAGCGTCAGAATGATAGGATTCGGTAATAATTCATCGAGGAAACCTCATCATAAAGGAGCGTCAGAATGATAGGATTCGGTAGTAATTTATCAAGGAAACCTCATCACAAAGGAGCGTCAGAATGATAGGATTCGGTAATAATTCACCGAGGAAACCTCATCACAAAGGAGCGTCAGAATGATAGGATTCGGTAGTAATTTATCAAGGAAACCTCATCACAAAATAGCGTCAGAATGATAGGATTCGGTAGTAATTTATCAAGGAAACCTCATCACAAAGTAGCGTCAGAATGATAAGATTCGGTAATAATTTCTCAAGAAAACCTCATCACAAAGGAGCGTCAGAATGATAGGATTCGGTATTATTTTATCGAGGAAACCTCAGAGATGAGGGGAATAAAGCAGGATACAACTATAGTCACTGAAAATAATGTACTGCATTGCATGAAGTAAGGGTAGAAATGAGAAACGTTTAAAGATGTCGTTAATTCTAGAAAGATGTCCAACAGTTTTCGAAAAATTAAAATAATTTGATCAAGATATACTTTGTAAGCATAATTTTATTGATTTGCCCTTTCTATATTGGTCTAGAAGATCATTTGGACTTATCAATCTTGTCAAAAATCATCTAGTTTCTCAACTATGGTTATCGCAGTTTTATAGTCACTGAAAATACTGTATGACATTTCACGAAGTAAGATTAGAAATAAGTTGAAATAATGACAGATGTCATTAAATCCAGATAGCTGTCCCATGGTTTTCGAAAAATTTAAATATTTTGATGAAGATATACTTTGCAAGCATAACTTTATTGATTTTCTTTTTCCATATTGGTACAGAAGATCACTTTGACTTACCAATCTTGACAATTTAAACTAAAATGATCGCAAGTTTTTATATATATATATATTCAGCACTATCAACATATTTCAATGTTTCAGCAGAAATTGTAGATTTGGTGGAAGCTAAACTGTCATAAAAATTGTCAAAGGATGCTTGTATTTCTAGTCAAACGTTGGCCTCTTTAATATGTACCACTGACATTTTAATGAGGATCAATACAATTTAAGTGAAAATTAATTCATGAGAAACAGTTCAGCTCCTTTTTTATAATGCAAAAATAATGCAAAAATAGTTATTGAAATAATGCATCAATTCGAATAAAAAATTTTGAACTATATTAAAACCCTAAAATACCTGTTCATTTCATATCAATTCGTTTACCAATATTTAAGTTAAAACTTGGATTGAAAACTTTCAAAGTTGAAATAATGTAAATTTATAACATTAAAATTAAGGTTGCAGCTCATCCGGTAGTGTTTGACATTACTCAAAACAACGTTCGCTTTTCTGTGTAAACCAATCTGATTTATAAGCTCTGAAACGTTTTATATTTTTGGCTTCATCCACCTAAGCTTTGCTTAACCATAGCTGATATTATTCAAGAGACGTGTATTGGGCTTTTGAAATTGGGAGCCTACGGTTGTTTACTTACACTGGCTCGGTACTACTGCTGGTGGACTGTTAAGTCCCTGAGGGTACCATCCGTCTAGTAATAAATGCTTCGACGTTATGACCGTAAATAGTATGTAATTATACTAAAAGTAAAGTTGTAGCTCCCGCAGTCAAACTTCACCTAAGACGGTTTGGACCAATTCGATATTGATGCTCCCATGTGTTTTATACTTTTGATCTTGAGCGTACACGATGAAGTTTATTCCAGAAGCATGTGTCATTCGTTTATTTTCAAAATACTAGACAGATATTTAAAATATAAGCAAACCCTCTATAAAATACATTTTTAAATCTGCAAAAAAGGGTCAACCCAACTTGAAATAATATTGATTTTGTTTTGTTTTAGATCTTGTACTCAAAGTGGGTGTGTAAGTGACGGTCAAGATAGTCCACATCAACTTGATGGTGCAATGGTTGGTGGTCCAGGACGTAATGACGACTACCAAGACAACAGACAAGATTACGTCAAGAATGAAGTAGCCTGTGATTATAATGCAGGATTCCATTCAGCTAATGCAGGTGTGTAGCATATGGTTACAATGCAGGATTACTTTTGTCGGGGGAGGGAGATAGGGGTTCGCTTGTCATTAGATCCTTTTCAAATTTGGATAATGGTTATCACATCCACCTCAGATAATACATTTAAAGACAGGGAGTGTTTCTCCAGAATATATTCATTGTGTGGGCATCGTGGGGTATGTTAGGATTCTGACTGTAAAATAACCATAGGGTTACCGACTTCGTTTTTGGTGTATTTGCCTATCTGATTCCTAGTTGGTAAGGAAACATGTAAAAATATCTACGTATTACGGCTTACAACGCGATGACACTACGCTAATTTCGACGTTTTGTGGTATTTTTTCACCTAGTACATCTTTTTGAAAAACGAATACCGTAAAAACGAAGTCGGTGAACCTATTTTTATGTTACATAATGAAAAAGCGAAATTTATGTTTCAAGAATATGTATTTTTCTTTTTAGAAAAATGTATGGATTTGAAATTGGAGATTTGATGCTTCGCTGATTTTATGTGCTTTCTATACAAATGTTCACTTATTTTGAAAGAATCCATTTAGTAATATTTCAAAAAAAAAAGGGATACAAATTTTTTTTTTTAGATTTTCAGTTATAGTTTTAACGAACAAAAGTTGTATTCAAAATTTTACCAAAATCTGTGACACAGCCCATTAACTGTACCTAGACCTTCAGTATTTTTTGTTAAGAATTAATATTAACATATATTGACTGACAATAACAACATTATTGTATCCTATCTTTTCTTGCAGGTCTTTACCACTTTGCTGTGAATAACCAATTGCCACCATCTCCTCCAGCAAAATGTTAAAATAAAAAAATGGTGCTAATTGCTGACTTATTAGTTTCAAAATCAGGATCATGTATATTAAGTGAACAGTGGTGTACTGTGCTACTGTTGTAGTTAAAAGTTTCAAAGTAAAAGCAGTTTTTTTTTGTTTCTTTGTACAAAGTCGATATTATTTAAGATATTAAATTGGTCCAAAATAACGTAGATTTGTATATTACTTTTATACTTGTCTTTTTTTACACACCAGTGATGTGTCTTATATGGACAAAGTCGCCATTACAAGCTAAGAAAAATCAAGTCTTAAGTTCCCTAAATTTAGTCTTTGTAAGTTGCATAGATGCAAGGACATGAAAAAGGGTATAACATATATATTCTTTGTATAACTATAAAACAAATGTGGGACCGTCGAATTTGAAGAGAATTGAAGAAAAAAATCCAAACCAGTTTCGCTAGTTTTGGCTAAGGTCATTTATTTAATTGGAAAAAACAAACGCGCATGTTGACAAGATAGGTCTCATCAGTTTTAATCCAATTAGATACGAAGTTGAAGAGCATTGACAACCAAAAATTTTCAAAGTTTGTTCCGTAAGTAGCTATATTCATCTATGCCTCACCCTGGGGGTAGACTATTCTTATTGTTTCGAATTACCCAATAGTTTATACACAGTAGATACAATGACAGTGCCAATGATATTGCATGTTAACCGAGGATTTCGGGCTATTGGGCTGGTGATAGTATTTAATATATTTTTTATATAAACACCGGGTATCATACCCGGTGTTTATATAAAAGATATATTAAATAAAAGGAGATGTGGGGGCATACGCCAATGAGACACTTACACAATGACACATAAATCAAAAGGAGATGTGGGGCATACGCCAATGAGACACTTACACAATGACACATAAATCAAAAGGAGATGTGGGGCATACGCCAATGAGACACTTACACAATGACACATAAATCAAACAGCATTAGGTCTTCAACAATTGACAGGTGCACACTTTGTCAAAATCACGATATTAAAGATCCACGAAAATAAATGAATCCACATAAATACACACATATTTACATACATTTTGTGTTACCCATTTATATTTGTTCCCTTGACTTTTGGAATTTGAAAATTTTAACATGAACAGCAATTTTATCGGGTGCTTTTATTGGACCATTAGGTGGGCCCTGTTTATAGTGATAAATTATGGACTTTGACAAAATTGAAACCAGAATGCCATTTCAGACTTCTGGATATATCCGCATTCCAGAATAACCATCTTGAAACATCTGTACTTTTTTTTTTCAAAGAAATCATCCAAATGTTTGCATCTATAAATTTTGTTTTTATGATCTCAAAAAAGAGAGGCGAAAGACACCAGAGGGACATTCAAACTCATAAGTCGAAAATAAACTGACAACGCCATGGCTAAAAAAGAAAAAGACCAACAGACAAACAATAGTACACAAAACACAACATAGAAAACTAAAGACTGAGCAACACGAACCCCACCAAAAACTGGGGGTGATCTCAGGTGCTCCGGAAGGGTAAGCAGATCCTGCTCCACATGTGGCACCTTAACATACGTTGTATGTCAATTTTTTTTTTCCGTATTCTATAAACAACTATCAAAGTATGTATAAACAGTTATAAAATATTTTTTTTACATTATGCTCAAACACTTTGGAATCTGAACTCTGATTCGTTTTCAAACGCCTCTTGTACCATATTTCCAATGTCTTGTCTATCAATTCTTTCCAAAGCTTTCCTTAAACTTTCTACCAGGCTTTCGTAAGGTCGTTTTGGTCGCCACTTCTGAAACATGTTTTCTTTAAAGTTGGTTTCCTTCATTAGTTCGTTCAGTACGTTCACTGACATGTTTAAGTTGATACCTAATCTGTGGCATTCTTCATCAGTTAAACTGTCCCCAAGTCTTTTGAGTGATGCATATCGAAGGACTGTACATCTTATAGGACCTAAAACAAAATAACAGGTTTTATACTTATAATTCTTTTTATAAAATTTGTTATCATATTTATTTGAAATATACCTGTATAAAATTAACAGATGTTCTGGAATCAAAATTAGTCTAATGTTAATTAAGACATACTTACACCTTAAGTAAGTATCCTGGATGTTGATTGGTTGATATCTATATTATTTTTTGGTATATTTTTTATCTGATAAATTGTGTTAATATTTCACCCATGTTCAGAAGGGGAATTTATGATATAAAAACTTCATGAATGTCAAGGTAAAAAGTAAAATAACAAAAATACCGAATTCCAAGGAAAATTTTCAACGGAAAAGACTTTATCAAATGGCAAACTCAAATGGTAAACGATTCTGATTTTACTAAATTTGTTGCTCAAGAAAATAACCATCTTGAAGACACCCTATCTTCTTGAAAAGTAAACATGTCGCATTGCCTGAAGACTTTGATTCAACTTATTGTTGACCAATCATGCAGTTTCGAGGAAAAATTTTAAAAAAACTTGTAAAATCTGCAAGGAGATGGGCAATACTTTTTTCATTTTTTGTGCTTAAGATTAATCTTTATGAGATGAAATACATCATTTGATATCTTAAAACCAAAAATTACTTTCTGTAAGATTGAGAAAAAGCAGAATGGCAATGGTACGCAGTGAAAAATGAGGAAAATACCAATAAAGAGCTGCGCCATGAGCGCATGATACGCCCGTCGCTTTTTCAAGGAATAAAATTCCATAACTCCTCAATTTCATATCAGAAATTTATGAAAAAAAACCAAAGGGAGGTTATTTTAATAGATATAAACCAGTCACCAAAGTTTCATGAAAACTGCTCAAATCATATTTTAGTTATTGTCCGAAGACTGGAAAATCACCGTTTTTTATGAAAAAAAATCCCACAACTCGGAAATGTATAATCTAAAATTTATAAGAATCGAAAGGGAGCTTACGTCAATAGATATAAACCAGTCACCAAAGTTTCATGAAAACTGCTTAAAGCATTTTTCAGTTTTTGTCCGAAAACTGGAAAATCATCCTTTTTTAATGAATAAAACCCCATAACTCAAACACATAACATCTAAAATTTATAAAAATCGAAAGGGAGCTTACGTCAATAGATATAAACAATTCACCAAAGTTTCATGCAAATTGGTTAAAGCGTTTTTGAGTTATTGTCCGACATGTTGACGACGGACGGACGGACAGACGGACACCGGTATACCATAATACGTCCCGTAAACGGGCGTATAAAAACTTAAAAGTAACATAAATTAAACATAGAGATAACTTAATAAATCCAATACCATACTACAAACAAAGTCAAGTGCCGAAACAAACACCTACCACTAAAATGCAAACATTTGATGGCTGTAAAACTAAAAGGGCTTTATTCATTTTGTATTTACATTGTATCATAGATCAAACTTATTTGTTCAGTGTATGTTCACTGGTGTTGATATGTCTTTTGATTGAGTTAAGTCATTTCAATTGATATTTTAAAGTGTGTCTTTCTATGTTGTGATGTTACACTATTGTTTCAGATAAGCGTGAAGGTTTGGTACCATTAAAACGTTAAAACCCGGTGCAATTGTTTGCACCTGTCCTAAGTCAGGAATCTGATGTTCAGTAGTTGTCGTTTGTTGATGTGGTCCATAAGTGTTTCTCGTTTCTCGTTTTTTATATAGATTAGACCGTTGTTTTTCCCGTTTGAATGGTTTTACACTAGTAATTTTCGGGGCCCTTTATAGCTTGCTGTTCGGTGTGAGCCAAGGCTCCGTGTTGAAGACCTTACTTTGACCTATAATGGTTTACTTTTATAAATTTTGAATTGGATGGAGAGTTGTCTCATTGGCACTCATACCACATCTTCTTATATCTATTTAACAGAAAATCCAAAACCCTAAAAGAGTAACTTTTCTCGAAAGAGCTGACTTGGGTGTAGTACAACTATGAAACCTTTGAACTCAAACATTGCTTTCAAAATGTATTATATAAATCTGGCCAATAATGCAAGAATTAGTTTGAGGCAGCATGCAGGATTGTGTCCTTTTTTCGTTTTAGCTATCATAGGTCCATTTATCCTTTCTTCCGAATGGATATATATTGCTCGTCAATATTGCTGTAATTTTGCTAACAGAGGGATGTATCATTTGTATTATGTATCTATAACTTACATTCAGGATCATTTGGATCAAGTTTGGTCTCTCTAAACAATTCTTCTGGAACTGAAATATAGACAATAGTCCAGAATATTATACACTTTTATCTAAATAAAACTATACAATTAATATTTATTGTAATCCTGCTTCACAGGATACTATTATTTGTTTTCATTTGTACAAAATCATGTAAGTACAGAATTAAATATTTGATAATATTTATTCATAAAACTATCATATTCTGGGTTCACACATGTACGAAAACTAAATTGCATAGGAAAATGAGAAACGTTTACAAATACATATGTTTAACTTGGGCTGGGACTATTATAAATAGTCCCAGACTTGGATGGCCACAAGGGATGCTCGCTTGGTTGTGTGTGATGTATAAATACGCAGCGACGTCAATTGTCCAACATTTTTCAGGGTAAAATCTTTTTATTATTATGAGTGGTCGTGCATATAGTCACAAATGCCCATGTTATTATGAGTTTGATTTTCTATAAATTTTCCACACAAAAAGGTTGTTTAACTTAGTCATTTTATACCGCCTTGAAGAAAGTCAATTAGTTAAGCCTTGTCATTACATAATAAAGGAGAAATGGATTGATGACTTTTCTTGTGGTAAACAGTATTTTTAGCATATGTTGTACTTTCAGAAAAACAGACCCTGTTGTTATCTGGATTTCGCAATTACCATGCGCATGTGTAGTAATATATAACATACACAAGTTACCGCCTGTGTTAGAAGAATACGAAATGAGAAATCGTTTTAACTGTCTACTAATTACAATTCATTTTCAACTTTCAAAAGATTTCTGTATAAAGTGTCAGCAAAAAACTGTGATTGTCTGGTAAAACTAATGATCACTAATATATATTTAGAAACCGTCATTCATACATTTCCAAACCATATTTTATGGATATTCGACAAAAGCGTAAGACAATTTGAATACAACTGAATTAAGGACAATAGAAGCCACGCAAATAGCAACAGCTTAAACAGTCCCATGGTGCAGGTCACCTTTATAGTATTAGTCATTCAATTATTTAACTTACTTTCTACTTCAGTAATTTTGACAGCAATTGGTAACGTTGTTAGATATTCAGTCTGCGGTTTTTGTTCTTTGTCTTCATTTCCAGTTGCAATGTACATCGATTTTGGACAACAACTACCAAACAGACCAGGTTTTGTCATAACCTCAGGAACTTTATTCAAGTCTTCTTTCTCGTGTGACTTTGACTCCACTTCAATAATTTTGTCAATTATTACTTCACCGCTAGGAAGCTTGTGTGAATCAACTATTTCTTCACCGCTAGGCAGCTTGTGTGAATCAACTATTACTTCACCGCTAGCCAGCTTGTGTGAATCAACTAAGTTGAATGTCCTATGATTTTTCTTTTTGTTTGGATTGAATATAATGATTTTGTCACTTTCTGTTCCTTCGGTTCCTTCTTGTATTAGCAGATCCCCTGAGAACGTTATCTAGATAAAGTAATAAAGAGGCAAAAGATACTAAAGGAACATTCAAACTCATAAGTCGAAAATAAACTGACAACGCCATGGCAAAACAAGAGGCTCATGAGAGCCTGATATTGCTCACCTGCAATTTCAGTTTCGGGCATTTGACTTATTTGTAGATCTTACTTTGCTGAACAATTTTGTCATTTACACTTTCTCTCTTTCTATAATAATATCAAAGATAATACATAACCCAAAACTGTAAAATTTCCTAAAAATTAACTATTTCTTGACAGTAACCCAACAATAAGTTATCCTATTGGTCTGAAGATTACTTGACAGGTAGATCTAAACCTCTTTAACACTTTCACCTGTGTCAGTTTTGCTCTTACTGCTTTAGTTTTTGAGATGAAAGCCAAAAACTTCATTTGACCACTATGTTCTATTTTTACAGAGGATGACCTTGAGGTCACTCCAGTGTATTGCCATCGCCTAAATTTCCATTATGCAAATTAGTTTTGGGATTTCAACCGATCTATAAAAATTATAGATCCGCGGTCATTACAAGGGAAAAAAGTGCATTTGTATACCTGCGATTCCGTTCTCCGTTCGTACGATGTTTCATCAAAAAATGGAATCATTTCAGTTGTTGATTTAGTACTGAAAATTTGACTGAATTATCTCCTTATTAAATACGGTTTTATATGTTTAATAGGTGTTTAAGAAAGAGGTCAGGTGCTCATGTTCATTCATAAAATTATCGTTCATTCATGAATTTATCGTAAAATCAAAATCACTACACAGGTCACACAGGTTGTCAAAAGATTACCTGTATAGTATCTAAAAATAGACAAACTTAACTGACTCCCCTTACTGTAGTGTGTGATAACATTTTGTGAGGGAATTCGATGTTTGCTATACCACTGTTCATTTCAACGCACTTTATGACGATACCACTTTATCAATATGAATGAAATTTTTTGCAGTGTTTTAAGAAATAATTTTACTTTAAAATCGCGTATCATTTGTGAACTATTAAATGTTTTACAAGGACGAATTTTCTGTATAAAGTCAATAATTGTGTGAACTTTTGAAGCCCAAACTTTTTATAGCCTTAAATACGCTAATGAAAGATCCGAAAACTATACCCATACAGAACGACATGTTTTCGAAATTGTAGCAAAACTTTTGGTTGACAAATTTTAATTCGTTATTGCATAAATATTAACTTGAAATATCTGTCATTTTCTCCCTACCCAGTTTACCTCTATTACTCATTATGATGTGGACTTGACATTGTTATTGAATCTTATGCAATTTGATTGGATTAAGTTATTATTAGATTACCTTCAAACTGTTCATGCTTTTTCGTACGAGTATATTGATTAAATCAGAGCGTGCATGAATGTGTACAGAAAATTAAATGACCTGCAAACTGGACACTGGACCAGTCCATATTACGTTTTATCAATGAATAGATTTTTTTTATATCCCAAATAACAGGGCCCATAAAGGGCATAAAATCAGATACAATTGATTTACATAATTGGTAACAACAACAATAATAGCGGCATATAAATAGATATTTAGTATATAAGCATTGTTCAGAATCAGATGAACGAAACTTAAGGTATGAAAGGTAACAATTGCCACTTTTTATCTTTTCACATAATTTTCCACATACACATTAGATAAATTATTTTTGATAGCCTATTGCGGAGAAAAAAGAGAAAGTTTACTGTATTAACGTTCTATTCCATTAAATACGCCATTTTTCGAAGATAAATGCAGAAAAACATTAATGAACGGCTACGCCAGGTAAAATTGTTGTTTATCCTAAAAAAAAATACAATTTTCAGTTTCATTAGAATATTATAATAATAATAAATCCCAAATTTATGTAGTCATTAGATAAAGTCCTTATATGTCCGATCTGCCTATTTTTGGACATCAAAAGACAATACGATCGTTTTAAGGTCAATTTCGTCTACCTCACACAATCTTGTTAGGCACTATAATGAAATGGACCTGAAATTTATTTCACATGTTTCCTGAAAATTGATAAATATCAAAGCAACATAGAGCTGTTTGTTCTGTTTAATTTAATGTCATGTTTGTTTGTGATGACCCCCCTTTTCGGGATTGCATCAGAATTATAGTTATCTCGTATCGCATGAGGATGACACATGTCAACTGAGCAATTATGTTTGGGACTTAGTTTTAAGAAATGATGTCAAAGTAACATTATGAAAATATTTTTAGTAAGCTGAAATATATATTTATTTTTTACATGTTTATGTCTTGTAAGATATTTTATTTCTGTCCCGTTTTTCAACATTTGCGTCTGGAAAGTTGAAATGTTTTAACTGAATGGTTAATTTAAATTAATTATGAAAATGGTTAAAATTAAATCAATAAAGGAAGTTATTGCCCAGTTACAAACACTACCAGGGGATAATCCATAATGATTTTTTTTTCAGTTATATGTTTCAGCACATGTATAATTAACCCCAACTTTAGCCTGGTAAACTTGTTGTCTCCTTGTAAAATATAAAACATATTTAAAATGATTTCCTGCTAAAGTCTTATATTGATATAAAGTTAAAACCGTCTTGCTTCTCACTAGTCAACACTCCTGTCCTGTCAGGTTTAATTCTTATATATATGGATGAAAAATAAAAGTCCACAAAACATTAACATGGCAGCAATTGCTTTTACAGCCTTTAAGACTTTGACTTTTTTTTTACAGAAGAGTGTCCACCATGCACTTGCATTACACTATAATAATAGTAGAATAGTATGATATACAAAAAGATGAAAATTATATATACATGCAACCGTAATATTAATATAATATATAACAACAAACCAGTGTATTCTCTGGAACTATTATTATATTAGTATAATAGTCTAAGGTATACTGATTTGTATCACTACAATATAATAGTTATTACGGTGAGGTTGAATTTCCTGTCATTTATTCATCATCCAAGCACGAACTTGTATAAGAAAAAAAAATCTCTGTAAATTAACCTCAGTTTCATGTATAGAGATGTGATCTGTTTCTGTGACATGTGCTTTTGACCATCCACAAGAACCTGCGGTCATCCGATGTTCAGTACTTCAGTACTTTGATTAGAAACTGCCGTCATGTTTTTTAATGGATCAAACCCCCGAATACAATCTATAAACTAAATACCCTAAGGAACATTCAATTAAAGTTTTAAAGTATTTGGCTAAGTAGTTTCAGAGAAGAAGATTTTTGAAAAAGTAATTAGACTTTCACAAAAAATGTAAAAAAAAACGTTTTAAGGGCAATAACTCCTTAACTGCATTTGACCCGTATGTTCTATTTTTAGTCGTGGCGGCCATGTTTGTTAATGGATCAAAACTACGGATACAATTTATAAACCAGTTACCCTAAGGAACATTCAGTTAAAGTTTAGAAGTATTAGGCCCAGTAGTTTCAGAGAAGATTTTTAAATGTTAGCAAACATAATGAACAAATTGTGTAAAATTGTCTTTAAAGGGCAATTACTCCTTGAGGTGTCAATTGACAATTTTGGTCATATTAATTTTTTGTAGATCTTACTTTGCTGAACATTTTTGCTGTTTACAGTTTATCTTTATCTTCAATAATATTCAAGATAATAACCAAAAACTGCAAAATTTCCTTAAAATTATCAATTTAGTGGCAGCAACCCAACAATGGGTCGTTCGGTTAGTCTGAAAATTTCAGGGCTGAGAGATCTTGACCCTATTGAACATTTTTACCCCTGTTGATGGATCAAAACTTCGGATACAATTCATAAACTAGATTCCCTAAAGAACATTCAGTTAAAGTTTGAAGGTAATTGGCCCAGTAGTTTCAGAGGAGAAGATTCTTGAAATAGTTTACGACGACGACTGACGATGACAGACGACGGACGACGACAGACGACGGACGACATCGGACGCCAAATGATGGCATAAGCTCACATGGGGCACTTCGGGCCCCGGTGAGCTAAAAAGAAAAAGACCAACAGACAAACAAAAGTACATAAAACACAATATAGAAAACTAAAGACTGAGCAACACGAACCCCACCAAAAACTGGAGGTGATCTCAGGTGCTCCGGAAGGGTAAGAAGATCCTGCTCCACATGTGGCACCCGTCGTGTTGCTCATGTTAGTACAAACCCGGTGATAAGTATGATTCGGTAGGCCACATTCGGGGAAAAGGGGACGGGATTGTCGTTACGACACAAGGAACATATCCGATATCATCTGTGAAATGGATATTCCATAACGGTCAACCAACTCGTGATGGCGTCCGTAAAATTTAGGAAGTAATGATTTCAACTTCACCACTTGGCTTAATAGCTTCCTTGTGAGCGGCAACCCGCTATCAAGGAAATCATGATAGGAAATACAAGCCCTTGAATATGGTATCAACTGGGAGATACATACTACGTATGCAGGCGCTGCTGGAATGTTGCTACATAGAAATGGAAAGTTTACAATTTTGAAGCTGAATTCATCTCTTTTGTCGTAAACATTTGTTTTCAATCCACCCTCATTGTCAATTTCTAGATGTAAGTCAAGATATGAGGCAGACTTAACTGTATCTGTTGTATCCTTTATCTCAAGTTCGATGGGATAGATGCGTTCAACATAGTCACCAAATTTTTGAATTATTTAGTGAGAGAATCTATATAGCGGAAAGTGATGTTGAAGGATACTTATTTTCTTTTTTACTAAGAAGTTCCTGTATGAAGTCAGCCTCATATGAATAGAGGAACAAGTCGGCAAGAAATGGAGCACAGTTGGTTCCCATGGGAATGCCGATTGTTTGTTGAAAAACATGTCCTCCAAACTTAACAAATATGTTGTCAATCAAGAAATCAAGCATATTAATAATGTCAGTTTCAGAGAATTTAATTGTTTGAATCAGAGTGGTTTTTTACAAAGTACGATTTTTTAAAAGATTACACTTCGTTCAACCCGAAATTTGGACTGGAAGTTACCCCCCCCCCCCCCAAAAAAAAAACCCGGTTACATAACCGTTTTTGGGATGGTGTCTTTGTCTCAAAAGCAAAAGTGGTATATTTCGCAAAAAAAAATCTATATACAGTTGAAATCTTTTAAAAAAAGATCAGTATTTTGAATAGAATTAGGTGAAAGCCTTTTTTTTTTAGTACAAATGACTTCATATTCTAACTAGCTATCTATTATAAGTCACATTTATTTTTCATTTATTTGAAATTAGACAAGGGGAAATTTCAAATTTCTAACTTTATCTTAATTGTTATATATTAGATTCCACTTATTCATTGAGTGAAACATCACCAGTATAACTTTTTATCTTTGTACATAAATGCAAATAGCAATGCGCTAACGACAAATGTAATCCATAATTTGATAAATTGATCCACAAGAAGTAAAATGTTGCCATTGTCCCAACTGTAAACACATTAAATTTGAGGTTTTTTTTATTGGATAAAAATAACAAAGGACGAATATTTTCCTTTCTATGATAAAATTTGATTTATAAAATTCTGTAAACAGTAGAAACTTTTGATTAAACCAATAAGGTATTAAAATTGTGAGAAAAATGGTGCAAATTTATTTTCGTTGTAGGTGTAATACCACCAAATCATAGTACGTCACATCCGGTTGCATACGAAAATAGGTCGAAAAAAAATATTCCCTTGAATTTGACAGTTGTAGGTAATTGATCCTACATTTCATTGCAGTAAAACATTTCTGGGTCATAAACATATATCTTGGGTATTTCACAGCACCATTATTTTTTTATTTGGGGTTTCTATAGAATATTTTGGAAACTTGAGGTTACATGGTTACTAAAGCTTGTACACAGGTTAAAAAAGGGGGGAAATTTGATTGGTTAACTTCCAGTGATGGTTATTTTCTTATATGCAATGAAATGTTATGTGAAATTTTTTCTATAGTACTGGACAGGATCAAACTTTACTCATGCCAAGTATTTCTTTATTTGAAACAAAGATAAATTCTGCACAATTTTTTGAAAAGTGCAAATTTAACAAAGACTAATAGGGGAAAATCAATGGTGGTATTACACCTAATATGGGAAGCTGTACATGCACCTTTGACCTTGTGAGTACTCTCATGTGTTAAAATTTCTTGCTATTTAAGTGAAATATTACTAATAATGAAATATTCTGAGTGGATTGAGTCTCCAAAACACATTTTATGAGAAAATTTCCTTGAAATAGGACTTTACCATGAATATTAGTTGACAGAATAAGCCATACTTAGAGTTTTGGGGAGCTTTTTCTCCTTTTTTCTTATATTCTGCTATACTAGAAGATTTTTCCTAAGAAATACTTTAATAAATATATAGTTTTAAGTAAATGAAGTTATTTTTAAAGCAGTAACAACAAATTATTCACCAAAAGAGAAGCTTTTTATGTCCCTCTCTGGAACGCGGCGTAAATTTAAGTTTTACGTAAGGACTTATTGAAACCTCCTTGGAGACAGTAAACTTTTATACGGATAGTTCATTCAGCTTGAATACTTCAATTAATCATTTATTATAACATTTCTATCATAAATGAGTGAAAGTTACCCCAAAATTTTTATTTATTGGCCTATAAAGTAGAAATTTTGAGGAAATGAGAGGTATAAATGGACCAAAAGAGACCTTATAAGGAAGACAAAGAGGTCCATTAGTAGTATTTATCATCCTAAAGTCATCTTTTGTATCATATTCAACTGTTTGTAGGCAGATGAGATAAATATTTGATCATTTATTGGTCCACACTATATTCTATCATGATGCGGCTTGGTTTGGATTTTTCGAAGAAATTTAGCTCGAACCGCTGTAGATGTCGTCTTACATTATACTAGATTTTTCTCAAACTATTGAACTGATTATGACAAAACTTGACAGGAATGCTTGAAATAACCAGTATTACAAAGGAAAAAAGTCACATTCAGTTTATTTAACAAAAAAGTCTTCTTTAGGTGTAATACCACCAAATCATAGTACGTCACATCCGGTTGCATACGAAAATAGGTCGAAAAAAAATATTCCCTTGAATTTGACAGTTGTAGGTAATTGATCCTACATTTCATTGCAGTAAAACATTTCTGGGTCATAAACATATATCTTGGGTATTTCACAGCACCATTATTTTTTTATTTGGGGTTTCTATAGAATATTTTGGAAACTTGAGGTTACATGGTTACTAAAGCTTGTACACAGGTTAAAAAAGGGGGGAAATTTGATTGGTTAACTTCCAGTGATGGTTATTTTCTTATATGCAATGAAATGTTATGTGAAATTTTTTCTATAGTACTGGACAGGATCAAACTTTACTCATGCCAAGTATTTCTTTATTTGAAACAAAGATAAATTCTGCACAATTTTTTGAAAAGTGCAAATTTAACAAAGACTAATAGGGGAAAATCAATGGTGGTATTACACCTTGTAAACAGACAATTAACATCTTTAATTGAAGCTGTAAAAAAGCTGAGAAATATGAATTGTTATGATAGGGTCTAATCAAAATTAACGTATCAGCAGAAATTTCGATAAGTATTTTTCTAGAATATCTTCAAAATACAATTTCTTAAAAATCGCATAACAACATGTATAAAATTAAGAATTTGGTAGTCTGCGGATAAAGGCGATTTCATTTTAGTTCAGTTTGTAGAGTTTCATTTATATTGTTTTACCGGAAAAACTGTGAGTTTTTATTTCAGACCTAAGATAATCAGTATTTGTTGAGTTATATCATTGTACTGTCAATTCGAATTCAAGTTTAGATAAAACTTGTTGCTAGTATATCATGTATCTACCTCAATTTATATCTGATATCTTGTTGTTTGGGTTTTTTTTTATTTCAAGAACTGCTTGAGAATGATTGGGCAAGTGAACTTATATCACCACTTGTCATAATTTTGTAAAACATTATTGTCCAGGACATCATGTGACGTCAGTTGTAATTTGAGATTCTCGTGAATGATTATGGGCCTACAAATAAAGATATCTGTCAATAACATTTTGATTAACCACTAAAGAGGCATTTTTTATTATTTTTGTTATAAAAGACATCACTCAGTCTCTTACTAACCAGTTGGAAACAAAGCACAAGCAAACAAATTTTCCATCAGCTGTTTTTTTACTTTTTATATTCCAAATTTTATTTAGTAAATAGCAAAAAATCGTTCGCCAATTCTCACCCGTTAACCTATCAAATAGCATAACTGGCCAATTTATATAATAGCTATTATTTGAGGATTTATTAAATGAAAGCCTAAAAATGATAACAAATGACATTAAGAAATCAATTTCAAGAAAATTAAGTTCAAAAATCATAGTAAAACCACAAAAATGTTAAATAATGATAATCTTACCAGAATTAATCCCACCCGAGTCAAATATTACTGTACCTTAAACTGTTGGTACACTTGCACAATACAATCAAAGTATTCCACGGACTGAGTTTCGAATCCTTTTTCTTTCCATTGTTTACGTCGTTTCTTGCCCAATGTCTTCTGAATGCATTCAATAATCAGGGTGAACACTCTATCTGTTTCAAACTTAACCATTGCAAACAATTCAATCCTTCGCTCCCTCTTAATTGCTTGAGTGGCTAATTTGGCCGCTTTCTCAGAAAATGTTCTCGAGCCAGCAACATAGCTAACATTAATAAAAAAAAAACAACGTTTTGTTACAAAAGGCAAGCTACTCGTATTTTTTTTCCATTTTCCTTAAGGAAGGTCGTCAAAACTTAATAGTGTTACAAAATAAAATTGTGTTGTTAACTATATTTATTCTTTTTTGGGGAATACTTGTCATAAAGTAATTCTATGTACAAATTTCAGTGATATGCTCTTGAAAACAGTGTATTTCTTAGTTGAAATTGGCTTTGAAATAGCATTGATTTACCGATTATGACCTAATCCCGATTGTGGCATTATAACTGAGTGTGGATTCGCATGGCGGGTGATGCATACATAATAGAAGCTTGCCCTGTCGACGCCCCAGATCTCGCTTCTTGTACTGTTGCCTCGGAAATTAAGTAACTGTGAGTGCTTTTATATCGGATACTTGTGTTTTTGTGTTTTGTTGTGATTCGCGCTTATCTAGTGAGGCAATCCCTTTCAAACTGATAAAGACAGTTTGTTTTGAAGTTGCGTTCTTACACCGCTCTCCCAATTGAGGGTGAGGGTTGAGCACTCACGAACTCGTATAAAACCGCCACATGCTGTATATGCCTGCCCCAAGTCAGGACCCTGTAATTCAGCTATTGTTGTCAGTAGCTGTCTGTCATTTATGTTTCGTTGATTATTTTAGAATAAATCAGACTGAAGCTGTTTTCTTGTTTCACATTTTGTCATGCAAGAGCCTGTTGCTCATTGTTGAAGTCGTGCGGTCACAACTTTAGCTGTTTGTATCCTCATCCATTGAACTCTGGTGGATAATTGTCTCATTGACAATCATACCACATCTCCTTATTTGTGTCTCATTGACAATCATACCACATCTCCTTATTATTGTCTCATTGACAATCATACCACATCTCCTTATTTTTATACAAAGACGGGTATTGCTCCAAAGTAAAAATATAAATTATAAATGATAATCAGATTAATAAGCTATGAAGACAAATTAGTGTCGATTATTATCGAGTTCACTATGTTTGTTTGATATCTTGTACTTTTGTACTTTCAAAATTCTTTTTGCAAAATTTTTAAAAAGCTATTAACAACAAATTTTATCTATAAGTAGTTATTTTTAGCCAAGATGGTTTTGTGCAATGTCTAGCATAGATTGTTTATTTATTGACTGTAGAATAAACAAAATGGTACAAAACATGACATCAACATTGAAGATCTGACAATATAAAGTATGGACGAAACTAATACAAAATAAAAACATCTTACAAAGAAAAATGTTTCACGTCGAATGCCACAAATTTCTTTAGATTATCTGTTTCTATGATTTCCCAGTCATCATCCTCTTCTGGATATTCCTTGTGACAGCCAAGTATGATAACATCTGTATCTGTCTGGGTATGTACCGGCATTTGCATTTTAACCGTTTTCTTGGGCTGTTTACCATCTGACATTGTTAAATCCAATACATTGGTGATCAGTAGCGGTTCGTCTATACCTTTTTCGTTCATCATCAAATCTTTGGTTTCTGAAACCTATTTTTACATACTCTTTTAAAAAGAAGAATTATGTTCATCCACTTTTATTTTTTTCCTTCCATGATCAAATTGAAACCTATCAACATTCTCTTTTAAGAAATATAATTACTTTACTTTTGATTCGTCTGGAAAAATTGTGTAATAGTATTTAATGTTTTTATTTGAACCAATAAGATAAAATCACTTATTTGGACAGCATTAAGCGATAAAATGACACGAAGCAGTTGATCAGAGTGGTATAATGAAGGGAAAAAAACGTATAAATTTGAATAAGATGAATATTTTAGATGACTATTTCCTTACATTAACTTGTAATTGACCAAGACCTTCAAATGTTCCTTGAGGTATATCTATCTTGGCATCTGGTTCCATAACAGGTTGTATACAGACAGCTTCCTCTGTTACAGTGAACGTTTCTGGTACTTCTGTTGTAATTATGGCAAACATAACGGAGTCTTTTTTCCCAAAGGTAATTGTAAGCGTTACATTTGTGTACTGAAATGAAAACAATGCTTGCTGATTATGTAGTACGAACATTATAATATATAAGAATTAACAATTCGTCAGTAACCAGATAAACTCTGCTACTGTGAATGTTCTAACATCTGAACATTGTTTTAAGAATACATAAATAAAAGTAATTTCTATCGACATATTTCAAATCTTTGTCTGGTTTATTAAGACAGAGAAATGCCATTGTTATGTCAATAAACAAAACTAACTTACATTTGAGACGTCTGAGTCATCAGTTTCAATTTTTTCGAATCCATCAATAGTTCCATTTACTGAACCGTCAATAGGAAACAACGACAGTCGTTCACTGCAACTTGGCACACCAGGTACTGTGATCTGTAATTTTAGAGAATTAGGCTTGTTACCCCAGACAACCAGTTCCACAACATCACTAAACAAACTTTCTTGTTGTTGCAAACGATCACGGGCATTTGAATATTCTTGGTGCATTTTACAACAATATAAGTAAAAACTGTTTAAAATACCATACGGCTGTATCGATATTCCAAGAGATTCCATTTTGATATCGTCTGTTCCTGGTTGAACGTGTAATACTTTAAAAGATATCGCACTGAAAGAAAAAAGATATTTGTTCATGTATTTTCATTGTTATTAGTAAAATGAGGGGGATATTCTAAATTCAAGATGTTTTGTGAATTAAAATATTAAGTCATTCGTTTTGCTAATGTATTTTGCGGTTTATTTCAGAACGCTTTTTGTTCTTGTGATTTCAACACTTTCATACATAGGTATACATTTTTATTTTGTATTCGAATACCAGATGACTTTAAATACGAAAAGGCTTGAAATACACACTTGAAATTCATTTTCGACTAATATTCGTCCCCTATAATACACATTTGAAAATTATTTTTACCTAGTATTCGTCCCTTTTAATACACATTTGGACTTTATTTTTGCCATTTACTCGTCCCTTGTAAAATATATTTGGACTTTATTTTTGCCTATTATTCGTCCCTTGTAAAACACATTTGGACTTTATTTTTGCCTATTATTCGTCCCTTGTAAAACACATTTGGACTTTATTTTTGCCTATTATTCGTCCCTTGTAAAATATATTTGGACTTTATTTTTGCCTATTATTCGTCCCATGTAAAATATATTTGGACTTTATTTTTGCCTATTATTCGTCTCTTGCAAAACATATTTGGACTTTATTTTTGCCTATTATTCGTCCCTTGTAAAACACATTTGGACTTTATTTTTGCCTATTATTCTTCCCTTGTAAAACACATTTGGACTTTATTTTTGCCTATTATTCGTCCCATGTAAAATATATTTGGACTTTATTTTTGCCTATTATTCGTCTCTTGCAAAACATATTTGGACTTTATTTTTGCCTATTATTCGTCCCTTGTAAAACACATTTGGACTTTATTTTTGCCTATTATTCTTCCCTTGTAAAACACATTTGGACTTTATTTTTGCCTATTATTAGTCCCTTGTAAAACACATTTGGACTTTATTTTTGCCTATTATTCGTCCCTTGCAAAATATATTTGGACTTTATTTTTGCCTATTATCCGTCCCTTGTAAAACACATTTGGACTTTATTTTTGCCTATTATTCGTCCCTTGTAAAACACATTTGGACTTTATTTTTGCCTATCATTCGTCCCATGTAAAATATATTTGGACTTTATTTTTGCCTATTATTCGTCTCTTGCAAAACATATTTGGACTTTTTTTTTGCCTATTATTCGTCCCTTGTAAAACACATTTGGACTTTATTTTTGCCTATTATTCTTCCCTTGTAAAACACATTTGGACTTTATTTTTGCCTATTGTTCGTCCCATGTAAAATATATTTGGACTTTATTTTTGCCTATTATTCGTCTCTTGCAAAACATATTTGGACTTTATTTTTGCCTATTATTTGTCCCTTGTAAAACACATTTGGACGTTATTTTTGCCTATTATTCTTCCCTTGTAAAACACATTTGGACTTTATTTTTGCCTATTATTAGTCCCTTGTAAAACACATTTGGACTTTATTTTTGCCTATAATTATTCGTCCCTTGCAAAATATATTTGGACTTTATTTTTGCCTATTATCCGTCCCTTGTAAAACACATTTGGACTTTATTTTTGCCTATTATTCGTCCCATGTAAAACACATTTGGACTTTATTTTTGCCTAACATTCGTCCCTTGGAATACTCATTTGGAATTTACTTATGCCTATAAGTTGTCCGTTGTATACAAATTTGGACTTTATTTTTCTCTATAACTTATCCCTTTTAATACTTATTTGGCTTATATTTATGAATAGTTTGTCCAAATGAAACGATCAAAGTCCCTGATATGGCTGCATAAACTTCTGCTCGTTCAAATCAGTGATATGCCCAGATAATGACGTTACAATGATGTGTAATATGTCCATGGTCCATATTTACGTTAGGCATTTTGTTTCAATTTGTATGAAAAATGTATAAATTTCAAACTTACTAGTATGATGAAGTACCTATAACAAACGCTAAGAGGAAAGTTGTATGCAGATGGATTTTTACAAAAGCGACATGCCCGGAAGAAAACATTCACTTAACAGTTAAATTTGAGTTAAGCGTATTAATGCAATTTGTTATGACGATCTTTGCGCTGAAAATGATTCATTTAGAGAATATTACACATCGTTTTTCATAGTCAGTCTAGAAATCATCTCTCGTTGACACCATATCACCGGCCAACATCTAGATTGAAATGAACGCTTTGGGACAATATCGGTACTTACAGCTTGGCGATTTTAATCGGCAACATATAGAATGTTGCATCCTTTTAAAATTCTTACCCATACTTATATCCTGGGTACCTACTGCTCTGTACAATGAGTAGATCTAAAATCCATTTGTCTTTTTTAGCAAGCAAATTCGTATCACCCATTGTCCAAACCCAATCCTGGAGAGCAGCTTCTGCTCCTAATTTGCAAAACAATCGAACTGCACTTGCATCCTTTCTGATAACTGCAAGCTCAAGGCCACTCTGACCGTGCTGTTAAAAGACATTATACATATGTCATAATGCATTGCTAATAATTTAGTCTATAATATTTTTGAAATAGGTATGGCTTATTTCCCAATGATTTGTTTTTTTAAATACGAAAGTTTACAAAACTTAGTTGCTTACACCTATGTCATTTGGTCTCTGGTGGATAATTGTCTCATTGGCAAACATAAACAAAACTCTTATATGTGCAGAAATTAAAATGCACTCAACCCTCCCCTCACATTGGACAGTGGTGTAACAAACAAAACAAAAACAAACCGTAAAAATCAGATGGAAACGCATTGACTCACCAGATAGGTACTATAAACACAAAAACATAAAACAAAAAAGACACAAAATAAAGATTTTGTCGTAAAATTTCGTACTGAACCGACCATCATTGTCAATTTCTAAATGTAAGTCAAAGATGAGGCAGACTTAGTTGTATGTGTTGCTTCATTTAATTCAAGTTCGAAGGGATAGATGCGTTCAACATAGTCACCAAACTTTTAAGGATGCGAGGATACAATCTATATATAGTGGAACGATTATCGTAGCTTCTTTTCATTCTTCATGAAAATCTCATGTATGGAGTCAGCATAATATGAATAAAGGAACAAGTCGGAAAGAAGAGGAGCACAGTAAATTCCCATAGGAATGCCGGTTGTTTATCGGAAACACTTCCTCCAAACGTAACAAATGTATTGTCAATCAAAAATTAAGCATCTTGATGATGATCAGTGTAAGAGAATTTTTTGTTTGAATCAGAGTGAAAATCAAAAGAAGTAGAAATGCAAACAAAAAAAAATAAAAGAAGAAGAAAAAGAAAGAGAATGAGATCAAAATTAAAATTAACACAAACAGAAAATATTTTTTTCTAAAAGAAATGAAAGTACAAATAGAACAAAATGGAATTAGATAAAGGTGTACCTCAACTCAGATAGCAGATACAATTTAAATTGATCTCACCTAATATGTGAAATTAGTTCCGCCGTTCACAGAACTAAAGATGGATTTTTTAAGACAACATTTCTTACAGTTTACAATTTCACAAAGATCTTGGATTTTACTTTAACAAATTGTTCTTTTTTGGCAAAGCAATAGCAATTTATAGTACCATTGCAATTGAAGAAAATTAAAATTATGATTAAATCAAAACATTTCATAGATACCAAATGATACGAAAAAAAACTAGAAAATTCCTGTAGCGCCTCTACAGCCATTACCAGCATTTATTGAATCAATAAATAGAGTTGATATAAACCGTGCAGGTCCATTATCAAAGACAAATTTATTTTTGGAAGTGAATTTATGCTCACTGTAATGTGTAATTTAACCAGATTTCAGGATGTTATTCCACTTATGTTAAATCTCCCAGACGAGTATTTGTATAGCGTTGGTTAAATTAGCTTCACTTTAGTCGGGTTCTTTTCTGCCTGATTAAAGTTCATGTCTTATGTCCAGAAATATCCAAGTTATGTGTCAGCCGGGTATAAAACAGTATATGTCGAGAATATCACACTGAATCTCAATGTGATTTAGAAAGGTCTCGTCAAACATTGATGCTTTAGGCATATTATTTTGAATTTAGAAAGGTCTCATCAGACATTGATGCTTTAGGCATATTGTTTTGAATTTAGAAAGGTCTCGTCAGAGATTGATGCTTTAGGCATATTGTTTTGAATTTAGAAAGGTCTCATCAGACATTGATGCTTTAAGCATATTGTTTTGAATTTAGAAAGGATTTGGATGACGGGATTTGTTTGTTTCTGTTAACTGCTATGGAGTGTGAATCGGAACCATATCAGGTTCTAGCCCTTTTGAGATCAATTTTTGTCTTACTGTTAGGGGTCCATAACAACCTTTGACCGAACAGTGGTTAGATGGTAACCAAGAGATAAACTTGTTAACTTATGCACCTGAAATAAAGTTTATTCTGTGAGATTGCCAAAAGAAAACTGAAGTAAAACTCAAGTCGAGCATGCCACAGAAAGTAGTTTACAACCAGATGAGATGATGGAAATGTTGCTGTAAATACCCTTGGGCAACAGACACAAAAACAACTGGGTATGTTATATCAATATGATGAAACCATATTATGAAAAAGAAAATGAATGGAAATGTAAACCAGATCTTAACAGTAATGTTTTTATTCCAATTGATGAGTAACCTTAGTTGATAACGTCAAACCGAAGGTATTCTTATAAGATATACACTTTTCTGCGGTTAACACGTAAGTAAACTCTGGAAAATACTTTTGAGCCTTATAACTCTTCAGTTCATTTTTCTAGCAACTGTCGATTTTGTTTTGGAAACAATATTTACATGTTTATATGTGTACATGAGTTCAAGTAGCCATGTAAAATACATTGGTAATGAAAGTAATACGGTGAAAAGGATCTATAAAATACATAAATTAATTGCTGATGGAGGTGTTTGTATAAGAATTATAAGAATTTTATTCATTGTAACTCATAAGAAGATACTCATCTCATTATCTCACCATATTCAATATGTTTATATCTCCTCCGTGCGCTACTATTGCCACTATAACTTCAATGTTTCCTTTCCGTGCCGCTTTATGAATTGCTGTTTCACCATTCTAAAAAATTCAATGCATCTTTTTAATAGCCTAATTCCATTTGCAAAGCTTGCAGGTTTTTTATTTAATTTTGTTGCAACTATTTTAAATTTCTAAATGGAAGTTTTTCGTTTCCATTCATGAATTGAAACTTGAGCGTTTTTCAAATAAGTTAATTAGCTATAGTCGAGTGACATTAACCACACATCTTCATTTTTAATGCACACACTTAACCCTAACATACGGCTACATCATATACCATTCTAAAGCATATCATCTGTACTATCTTTTTTGCCCGGTCGTCAAATATTTGCACGGTTCATTTGTTGTCAAATCGCGATGAAAGGTCAAGGACGGACCATTTCTAATTTTACAAGACGTCCAAATTTTGACATATTCTGTCTTTGAAATAATAAAATTCTGTATGGAAATTTGAAAAACTTTTAAGAACAGAGACTATTTGTCAATTATCAAACACACTTTAAAATATTAGTGACGTATTTTTAATTGATAGCGCCGTTTTCCAGAAATAACAGTGAAAATGATAAAAATGAGTGAAAACCAAAATATTTGTCTGTGATTTGATTGTTAAGGTGGCGCAGTAGTATTTCCTGGTCCATAAGGGATAATGATAGCCTTTTTAGAATTTTCACCACTTTCTAACACTGCCAAAAATTCTACATTCACAGTTAACTGAAGTACTTTCATTTTACTATTCAGAAATAAATTTGAATATGTATCATGACCGTTTACTTTTTTGGCTATCTTTAAGAACCTAAGGCCACTAGTGCTTTTAGGTCTTTTATCGTGCAGTGAATACAAAATTTAAAAAAAATCTCAAAAATTCATTTTCATCTGTATGTAAAATTATTTCATATTTTTCTACACCTGATTCATCCCTCAGTTTGGGAAAGTATGTTCAGTTGATACTGTATTTTTTGTCCAATCATAATGTTCAGATACATTGACTTAAGTAGGGTACACAAAAGAGCAACCTAAATTCTGGAATGCAAATACTACCGTGCTACCTTAATCACCATAAAACTAAATAACATATTTCATTTGGTGCTAAGGAAGATTTTGGCATCATCATATTACTGCAATCACACTTCTTGTTAATTACACAACCAATCATAACAACCTATACAGTTGCCCAAAATACAACCATCTGCAAAAAGATTGCTTTTAACTGTTTTACGTGAAAAAAAATTATGTAGTCAATATAAGTTGAAGAAACACAATTTAAAAATGCAAAAATGTATGAAGGCAATAATACACGCGGGATTCATGCTTTTAAGGGGAATTTAGGGAGCTAATTCAAATTTTAATATGTAGTTGAGTTGCCAGCCTGTTAAACATTTTTTTGTCATTTCTTGTTATTTTGTTTGTTATTGCATGATTATCATTAAAAGAAATAAAGGATTTTATATATAAATATTAAGCTAGCCCAAAAAATTAAATACATAAATAGATAATTACATAGTTACAAAGTAAATTAATGAAAAGTTGAATTTCAAATATTTCTCTTAAACAAATCATAAAAATTGTTTTCTTGGTTGCTTCAACTGCATCGTGCATTGATGAAAAAGCTAAAACTATTATATTCTAGACACTGAAAATGTTCTTTGTGTCTGTCCGTAGTATGTAACTCTATCAAACTACGCAATGTTCTAGTAAAAATTGACATGTTGCTGTTACATGCAATTGCATGTTGGATTTGGCAAAACCTTTTGGAATTTTGGGTCCCCAATGCTCTTTAACATTTTACTTTATTTGGCTCTTTTAAATGTTTGATTCGAGCGTCCCTAATGTGTCTTTCGTTGACAAAACGCGCGTCTGGCGTACATCATTTAAGCCTGGTATCTAAGAGTTTATTTACAACCACTTGGTCGATGACACTGCTGGTGGGGGTTTCCTACCCGAGGATATCACCAGCCCTGTAGTCAGCACTTCTGCGTTGACATGAATTATCAATGATATGGTCATAGTTATAAATTAACTGTTTACGAAACATTGCATTTTTACAAATACTACGGCTTTTCTACCCCCGGGAGTAGATAACCTTAGCTGTATTTGACAAAACCTTTCCAAATGTTGGGTACTCAATGCTCTTCAACTTCGTGCTTTATTTGGCCTTTTTAACTTTTTTGATTCGAGTGTCACTGATGAATCTTTTGTAGACGAAACGCGCGTCTGGCGTACAACATTTTAAGCCTGGTATCTATGAGAATTGTATTTACATTGACTTACAACCTATTTCTGTTGATTTGAAAATTCTAGCAATTCGCAATAATTATAGTTTTGATAAGACTCCCTAAATAGTTAAATTATTACATATAGAATAAATATCTATGAAGAAAAAAAATTACTGGGTATGTGTCTCACCAACAATTCAACCAATTATCACCAAGAATGTTTTGTAAAAGTAGGCAACCTCTGACAAAACATAGCATTTTTCATATTGCCGCGTTAAACCCAACTGTTGTTGACCTGGCAGCGATTATTGGGGAATTTTCACACTTTATTTTCATACTAAAGAAGAAGGAGGTTAATTATATTGCGTTATCTTTCTTATCACAAAAGTCACATAAATAAATTGTTTGCCAAAATTAGTTGATTTGAAGTATTGTCTTTTCCAAAACTAACTTAAAACCTCTAAAATTTTATCCAAACAATAACATGAATAAGTAAAATCGTTCTTTTACATTCCAATGCTTTGCATGTTATAATCTGTTCGTTTGGTTTTTTTAATGGTGAGAAGATCTCATAACTGCAATATGTGTCTGTTATAATTTGACCATAAAAAAACCATACAAAATTTTATGTTTAAATGTGAGATAAAGAAGCGTTAAAAATGAGATCACTTACAACCAGGACTGTAATGGTGAATTTGAATTGCTTGCTATTTAACTCTATTTGAATGTGTTTATCATGAATAAAACCCTTCCTGTACAATATGCAAATGTGCACTTTAAAACGTTGAACTTCACTCAAATTTACCAAGCGATGTAAGAGGAGTATTGCTCATTAGAAAGTTTTTTAGACTAATGGATGGAGATATGAATGGAAAGTACAAAACACAAATGGGCGTAGGGACAAGATGATTCCTACATTTCCGATAAACACACATATAACACCATGAACAAAGCGAAAAGGTAGGACAGACAAACAACAGTTCTCAAAACACTACACAGAAATGTACGAACACTACCATAAACCAGTGGTGATTGAAGTTGGTCAGGAAGGGTAATAAATCTTCCACAATATAAAACTTCAGTCATATTTGATAAAACAGATAATATACTAAATAGGTATGTAATAATATGCTAACATACATGATATGTGGTGTAAAGCGTGTGGTGCAAACAGTATTTATTGGAATATTGAACGAGAATAAACATCTTAATATGTCTTTCACTTTCGACATCGAATAAAACATATTTCTATAATATATACCTTGAATATTCTTAACTCACTTTTATTACCCCTTTTTCAAATATGGTAAATTATTTTCATTTGATATTGACAACAATCGATGTGTTATCTAAACAATGAAATGCAAAATGATCCTAATATGCAGATGGTGGTTTTAAGGACAATTGCAAAAGCTTCTTTAGAAGGCTGATTCCTGACCAGTATTATATTATTTGCAGTAAAAATTTCCTTCACCTATAAACGATAGATCTTTTTTTTATTTTTGACATATAAATATTGATACATAAAGAAATATTTTGCTTTTAGCGCAATTTTATCATTTTTGAAAGATTTTAAAAAAAATGCAATTTTCTGTAATTATTGCGCAATTAACATTTTAATGTGCACCTGATTTAGAGTCCTGGTATTCTGTTCTATTATGTTCATATGATGTTTAGAAAAAAATGTATCATAAAGTACCAGCAAAGATCATTTTGTTTAATTATTACGAAATTTATGAATGTTCATTCTTGACCTTTGACCTTGAATTAGCAAAAATTGCACCGTACGAACTATTGAAGATCGGGCAAAACAGAAAGTACAGATGATAAACTTTCGAATGATGTATAATATAGCCATATGTTAGGTGGGTGCATTATAGTCGTTAACTAAGCGTCTTTTTGAAAAATGTCACTCGTCTACTAACCGGGCCTTCTTTTTTCAAGTGCAATGACTTCCTTGGCCAAGCAAAAGTTATTGTATTTGAGATTAGACCTCTGTATTGGTGTTTACCTATTCTACAGAAATAAATGGTTCAACAGGTATAATTTAAAAGTGCGAATTAGATTGGTTGGTCCTTTGTGAAAGCAATTGTTTAAACAAAGCGAAATTTCTCTCGCAGAAAGTAACCAGATTGGTTGTCTAGAGTACGCTGGTATCCTCACTTAATGACATGATAATTCATGGTCACAGTGATTTTTCGTCAGATTTGTGATCTTTAATTTTAATCTAAAATCTAAAGTACAGAAAAGAAAAACTGGAATGTCCTGGTTTGTTACAGTTGTTATTTATTGGAAATGGATATTGAGTTTTTACACTCAACCCTTTTATATTCAATCAAAACTGCCACATATTTGCATTTTTATGTATCGATGTTACTGTTGTGTTAAATATTTCAATTCATATTTATTTGAAGTATCATTTTAATAAAGCAAATTCCTACCACATCTACTTTTCTAACGTTGCCACCTTTTTGAATCATTTGGACTACAAGGTCAACATAACCTCCAAGTGCGGCATAATGTAAAGGTGTACAGCCAGCCTGTAACGAAGCATAAATCAAACTCACTTCTCATCCATGTATACCATCACATAATCACTAGAGTAAAGCTGATGTCCGAAACTACCGTTATTGACATTCCAAGATGTCAGACGTAAAATTGGGTCAAATAACAGTCTTTAAGAAATAGAAATAAGTGCAGTTACGGACATCAGTTCAACATATGAAAATAATATAATCAAGATATAGTAGAATGGCTTTACATACAATTGAAATAAACAATTAGAAATAAAAGCATTCAGTTATTTTGTAGAAAACCTTTAACTAGTTTATAAATATCATGATTACAAGGATTTAATGAAGTTGAGATATCAGCAGAGAAAGGAAGATATAAAAAATGACACATCTAGAAAGAGGGCAGCATAAAATAAGAATTCGGGTTTGTTTTTATTGCACGTGGACGTTGAAAGCCTGCTTCAGAAGTGATTGTGCAAAACAGTATTCTCATATAAATTTAAGACTTTCTGCCCTGGTAAATAGCAAAGAGACAAATCGAGAAGTCTAATACCTTTCTAATCTAGTCCTGCAATTAAATATTAATTTCGGTAAAATATATCATGCTACAAAGTAGTATAGCACAGCTACTTTTATCAAAATCCCTACAGTTGTTACATTTACAAGCAAGGAACAATTAAAAAAAAGTGTATTATATATATTATATTTTAACTGAGACTACTATGTTATAATAGTCTCAGATTTTAAAGAAACACGGGCAATGCAATGCAAATTTAATGAAGCACAGGCTAAAAAATAACATTATTATTCAATAGATATAAAAGGAACTTATAAAACTGCAAAAGATTATAGTTGACAATAGTTGTATCCAAGAACTGGAGTTCTTCGTTGCTTAAGGGTTTTAACCCCTTAAATAATATTTTGACCTTCAATCTCTCCTCAACCAATAAAATAAGGTAACATAATGATTATTTATCAAAGTGTAAAAGAGTAAAAAAAAAAATACCGAACTCCAAGGAAAATTCAAAACAGAAAATTCTTTATCAAATGGCAAAATCAAAACATGAAAAACATATTCCTGACTTGGTACAGGCATCTCCTTATGTAGAAAATGGTGGATTAAACCTGGTTTTATTTTATTTCATTTTGTATACAATTAACTTACTTGATTATAATACACAAAAGTAATGAATGCAAGATCAGCTAATCTTTTTCTATATATTTTTAAGGTTATTATTATTCCTGGTGCATGTGGGTCCTGATGTGTGATTCGGACACAAAGGGTATTTCAGTGTTGTTTCTATTTTGTTTACCCTTGTATATTTATATCTACTTAATTTTTACTTTAACGAGAAAGTGTATACTATATACGATATTACTATCAATATTGTCAAATTGACACCTTTTTTGTTGGCGCCTTTGTTAGATTAATTTGTATGTTTGTTTGAATTTTTTCAGTCAGCCGTGTTGTATGTCTGTGATGTATGTTTACACAGTTTTGGCTGCTATAGTCCTAATCATTGTCACATTAACCTATTATGTCTCTGTTATGGTTTCTCACCCTATTTTGTCAATATAACGGAACTATAAACAACTGTCATACAAGAGGGAGGGTTAGCTAGCTATAAAACCAGTGTTAACCCACCATTTTCTATGGAAAATGCCTGTACCAAGTCAGGAACATTGCAGTTGTTTTTCACTTATTCTGTTGATTGATAGCGTTTGATTTTGTCAGTTTTTATGTACTTCCCCTTTTTGAATTTGCCTTGGAGTTCGGTATTTTTGTTATGCTTTATTATGAATATTAAAATGTGCAGTCATGACTTTCAACAATTACAGATATGCATGCGATCAAGACGTTCTTTGACTTTGATGTAAACATGTTTTGTATATATTGAAGCATTCTCTACTCATATTTACCTTCAAAGGAAATACTAAGCAATATATCGCCCACCTACAACCACAACCATAATGAATCAGTAAAATATCAGATAGATTTATAGCTGAATTTGAATTATGTACACATTTAGGGTTACTCATACATCCACAAATCGCTTATTAGTAAATACAACACAATCAATATTTTTTACTTAAAATAAGTTCAGTCTGAATCACTAAATGGCTATTTTATTGTATTAAAGAAATATTTAATGTTTACCTCATCAGCATAATTGGAGTCGGCGCCATTTTCTATCAAGGCTGCTGCATTTTTTGCATCTTTACTTTTGACGCATTCTATCAAACTTTGTGATAACTGAATTAAAAGAATGGATTGGTATAGCTCATAAGACAATAACAAAAACAAAACAGCAACAAAAGTGGCATTTGTATAAAAATAAGAAGGTGTGTTATGATTGTTAATGAGACAACTATCTACTTAAGACGGAATGAAAAGTATGTAACAATTACAGGTCACCGTATGGCCTTCACCAATAAGCAAAACTTATACCATAATTAAGCTATAAAAGATTATGGAGTAAACAAATGCGGAAAAAATCAAAAGAAAAAACTGGGCCGATTCAAACTATAAAGTCATAAATAATATAAAACAAAACAAGTAACAGACAACAATCACTGGACTAAATGTCCTGGCTTTGGACAGGAACATGAAGAATGTATTAGGATTAATGTAATTTCGTAGTGGCCTTTGGTTTTCGATATGTTACTGCTGCTGCTTTCGCACCCATCTTCTGGTCGCTATGACTTCACTTCCTACCAGAAGCAGCAATATGTAAACCTTAGTTGGCAGCAGCAGCAAAAACCTTTAAAAGAGTGAAATGATCACCCATAGCCATTTTGTGGTGGGAATAGAAATGTCCAGTGTGGCGTGATTTTTAAATTTTCTTTAAGAAAAATCACGCAAATGAATTGAAAACTATTCAATAAAAGCTACGGCAATGCTTTTATTTCGATGACATTTTGCTTTTGTTTTGATTTCTACCCTTTTGTTTTGATTTCTACCCTATTTCCTTTTCTTGTTCTAGTTTTAAAACTTATGATTCTTAAATTTTACACACGTTATGGAGAGATTGTCACACATATAATTACTCACACGCAAAATTTCCTTTCGATAAAAAGAAATAACTTCCATTACATTGAAATGTAACATAGTAGAACTTGATAATCTCATTTTATTTCATCATTAAGTATATTTTTTATGGATAAGGCATACTGTAACACACACGGGGTTAATACAATTGGAAATCCAAGTTTCGTTCTTATTGAATTATCATAACACCATAACTGTTCAAATTTATATAATAAAACAGCTGTGGCTAATATTTGGTCAACCTAATGTGGAGAAACATAATGCAACAAAGTAAGCCATAATTAACTTACTTGTTCACTAGAAAGTTCAGATATTTCTATCTTGTTCAGTCCCATATTTGATTACATCAGTTCCGTTGTCTCATCATCTGTAAAATAACAATATAAATATGTCCATAAAACGTTTACATATACAAATACTGATTGTCAAAAGATGAGACCAAAAAAAGCTTTTATGGATGTTGATTGAATAAATATGCATAATCAGCAGTATGTCAGGAGACTACAATTTTGCTTTAAAAGTCGTCCCCGATTATAAACTGAATGAAATGAATATATGCAAACAATTCAAGTGAAGACATCTGCTTGATTGTTTAGCATGTTTCAATACAACATCGTGGATTTGTTTTTGAATTATTTGGACTAAGGGACAATGGGTAAGGTAATCTACGTAAAGTAATTGAAACAACAGATTCGTGATGTTCAAATACATTGTTGAATAGGCTCACAGTAAACAATGTTATAGTAAAACAGTAAAACTTTAATAGTAGTGAAGTTGTACTACGATCGTCTGTCGATATACGTAACAATTAGTATAAACAAAACGTTATGTTCGACAGGTTACATCGCCTTGAGCAAGTATTTTTTTTGCTCAATAAACTTGTCACATATACGTACATACATATACGGTCTGCAACATTATATAAGTCTCTAAATAGCTCAGGGTGTAAAAAGAGGTGAATAGATTTAACAGAGATAATCAAAGATCTTACAATCGAATTCCAAGAGGGACACATAAATCATAAAACATTCACTAAAGATTTTCTTGTGCCACAACGCGTAAAAAAGGAACATCACAACGTAAAGAAAAACCACATAACTCAAAGATAGAACCACAGAACTGTAAGATAATAATCACAGCGTTAAAAGGAACCACATAAAATAAAGATGAAACCACATAACTCAAAGATAAAACCACAGAATTTTAAGATAATAATCACAGCGTTAAAAGGAACCACACAAAGTAAAGATGAAACCATATAAACCCAAGGTAAAACCAAAGAACACAAAGATAAAACTACAAAACTTTATGATAGTAATACCATAACGTAAAAAAAGGAAATATACACCTTAAAGATGAAACCAGAGAACGTAAAAAAGAACCAAACAATTGAAAGAACAAGAAGAAATCATATAACTTTAAAAAACCTAAACGTAAAGATAAAAGAACGGAACGCAAATAAAGAACCATACAGCTTAAAAAAGAAACCACATATCTCAAAAAACTAAAACCACTTAACATAAAGATAAAACTACAGAACGCAAAGAAAGATTCACACAACTGAAAGAAGAAACCACATACCCAAAACTAAAACCACTTAACATAAAGATAAAAACACAGAGCGTAAGGAAAGATTCACACGGCTTAAAGAAGAAACCACATATCTAAAAAATAAAACCACTTAACGTAAATATAAAAAGACAGAGCATAAGGAAAGATTCACACAGCTTAAAGAAGAAACCACATATCTCAAAAATAAAACCACTTAACGTAAAGATAAAAACACTCACACAGCTTAAAAAAGAAACCACATATCTGAAAAATAAAACCACTTAACGTAAAGATAGATAGATCGTAGAGAAAGAACCACAACATATAAAATCCCATAACATAAATAGTATTTGCCTCCTAACACAGTTTTGGTATTTCTGTTTTGACATTCTGCGTACAACTTTACTTTTGGGCATTACACATGCACGATCTTGTTCTTCTGTGCGATTCATGACTGCAGTAAATATTCATCTAGAAAGCACAGTAGTCAACAATAGTTTGACACACAGTATAGACTCTTGCCTTTTTAAAACCATATGTTGTATGACAAGTTGCTAGGTTTCTATCACATTGATGTGTATACCTCACATATCCTTTTAATATGTTTCAAAATTAACTTTATAGGTATCAAAATATACTCAAAAACAAAAGAAACGCTCCACCTCTATTATTTTTTTTTGGAGAAAAAAAATCTACTTTTTTTAAATGATTGGAATGAGTCAAAATTTTGACACCATATTTCTGAAGTTATAAACAACAAATTCTGTGAAAATGAGACATTTCTTAACTTCAAATTATGACATCTCAAAAACACATTTTTAACCCAAAAAAAACATGTTCCCAAAATTATGAAACCTAAGGTCATCCGTATCTTTTCCTATGAAAACAACGAAAAATTACTTAGTTTCAGTTTCTTATTCCAATTCTTGTCTGATGACCATTTTCAAATTCACTTATCTCAGACTATGTCATTCTTCGTAAACTCTGCATTAAATTCAAGGTGAATGAAATATATTTCTACAAATTTGTATCGAAATCAAGAAATTGTGAAACTACTATATATATATATATATATATATATATATATAACACTCAGAAACTTGTCCACCCCCAAACGTGTCCGATTCCCCCAAACGTGTCCATATGACGTCACTGAACTGCAACACATGGTAAACGGTGAATTAAACTGCACAAAACTACTCATTAATTACAATGTTTATGATCGCTCTAAATATGCATGACATATTTGCCACTGATCATTAAGCAATCAACAGCCCAGAGTTGATTTATGTAAAAACCGGCGTTGAACAAACTAATGCTAATAAATGACCACTTAATCAATAGTTGAAGCACTGGGGAAACGTATTTGATTTTTTAAGTGTGAAGTATCCCTATTCAAAATTCAAAACAATAATAATCATATAAATAAAAAAATAATAAAACAACTACAAGTAAAAAGAAATTTGTATTGTGCCATTCTTTTTCTTATCTGATGTCTGTTAATTTGAAAGCAGAATTCAGTGATTTCATCTTTCACTGTGGATAGTGTGCTGCATGTCTTAGACAGTTGTCTATACGCATCACTCCATCTTCCCCAGATTTCCTTGAATAGCGGCTTTAATATTTTTTTTAAAGCCTGCAACCAAAACCCGACGTCATCAATCGTGTTCCCCATCATTGAGTTGCCGTAAATGTTATTGACGTCACTGAGGCCATATCATTGCTGAAAGTTTTGAGACGTTTTGGCGTTTTAAAATGGACACGTTTTGGGGATGTGAAATCGGACACGCTTGGGCCATTTGAGATTTTATGGACACGTGTGAGCGATAGGGACACGTTTGGGGTATTCGGACACGTTTGGGGGATGGACACGTTTGGGAGTGTTACATATATATTATATAGTGTGGTGTGGTGCGTTATTTGTGTTGTAAAGTATATTTAATATATCAAATTGAAACTGCATGCTTAGTTCTGGATGAATTGATACTAGAATTTTGATTTAAAGTTGAACAAATAATTTCAAATCAAACATGCATAAATTAAATTCTTAAACTTTTTGATAGGTAAATTAAAATACTTTCAACGCTTTACTTCAAGTAGTAAATTATAATTTTAACATTATTATGCTAAATGTATGACTACTTTATTATATGCATTCGCAATGTTCGTTCAAGTCAATTTAATGTGCAAGGAGTCAGGTCCCCTCTCTCTAATTGGAAAATATTTTAATATTCCCAAGACATATTTACTTATTTCACCAATCTAACAACGTGTAAGTAACGTTGGTCTTCTTCCAAATGGCAGTAAAACTCTTGCCAATTTGGGACGTTCGTTTGTCTGTGCGGGATGTACAAGTACGCAGCCACGTCCGGTGAGAATGGGGACAGTAAATCCGATGCCTCGTGTAGAGAGAGTGCCATGCTATCTGCACGTTAAGAATCCTTTCAACAACTCTTTGTAGAAAGCCTGTTGCAAGGCAAAATTTCTGACCCTATCCAATATACCCTCATTTTCCAAAAATCTTTATCTCGTTCGGCCTCTATTACAGTACCTTCCTATTGTAATTATGCTAATTTTCTATCTCCTGAAAATGCATTAGATATTTGCCGATGGACGTTAAGCACACAACCATCAATAAATCAAATTTCACATTTTTTAACAGCTTAGGTCACATAGTCTATGGTGGACACATAAGATTTCTAAAAATGGTAAATTTCATTGCATATCCTTATATTTATATTAGACGTTATTTTGACGAAAGGTAAACCGTAGTGAATTATTTTTATAAACAAAAGGAAGATTTTGATTTAAGAGTACCTTTTGTGATCGTGAAAATGATCGCAAAATGTCCAGTGTCGTATTTGTGTCATTGCAAAAATCATTAAAAAGGCACTAGCTGTCAAATTCATGTTCACCGATTTGACTCACATTCTCATATTTGATTTATAACATACTAAAACTTATGTCAAAATTACAATAAGTCTGAAATAAACAGTTAAGAAAGCATGTACTCGATAATATATATCAGAATTTCGTGTGTATTTTAGTCTAGACGCCATCTAATTAACTATCGAGATGACCTCCGAATACTACCGACGGTAACATAACCCGATATAAACATAAACATAAATATAAATAGATTGCTACCTCGTGCAATTGGATTTTTATAGGTCTGTTTGATTTCATGTTATAGGTTAAAAAAATAAGCTAATCAATGTTTTTACCTGTATAAGAATGATTTTTTGTGGATCAAATCAGTCAACTAATTGGTTCACCTTTGTTTCACTTTCTTTTCCTTTTAATGGTTAAACACGACTTATGCATGCGTAAACAATCTCTAGCTAATGGGTTAAATTGAAGGTCACATGAATACGGATTTAATGAGGTCGAACTATTCACTTGCAAGTGAATAATTCATCAGCAATATTTCTTTGCTTATTTTGACAAAATTATACCAAATTGGCTGCTAAAAACGAATTATTATTTCATTATTTCACTTTTATTAATCATTGAACCAAACGAAATCATATTCTATTTTTTTCATATCTCGTAGCTAGTGCCCCTTTAAAAGCATTATCCTTCTGTAATTATATGAACAAAAAATTATGATTGGTACATTAAAAGACTGGACTTGTATTACTTGTTTCCGGTTCACAATTTCTAGGGGTTAAAAAAAGTCAAACTATGATGGTTCAGTGCCATTTGATAAGGTTTTCTAAATTAACTAAATTCACACCGGCAAGGTCGTCGTGCCCTATATCAATCGTTATCTGTCTATACACCCGTCAATATTTTATGTGGTATATTAAAATCAAG